CCTCTTTTCATCGCAAATGGGACGGGCGACGTCTGACGATGACAGCTGTTCTGTGGGTCTAGTGAACGTTACGTCTGCAGTATGTTTCCTTGTTCTTCCGTTGCTGCAGGATCATGGGTCTAACGCATACGCGAGGCTGGGAGTTGCATGTCGTGTATGCGGGTTCCAGGGGTGGACATGATGGAATGTTTGTTGGCTGTACAAGATACCGAACGACTTCATCATCAGCTGGTCGTTGCGATGCGGGCCTTTGGGAAAGGCAGCTTGTTGTCAGGTTGAAGAGACACGACGCTCGTGGCCAGATGCTGTGACGATTTGACCCGCTGGAGACGGGCCGCTCCTTCCTCACAACTCGGCTGATTGGCAGGCGCATGCGGGTGGGCAGGTGCGATGAGGTAACCGCGACCACGAGCATGAGAGAGGCCGTGAGCCAAATAAATCTCCAGCTATCAACTACATGACTTCTTCGTAATCTTGGACTGCTGGCTTCTAATGCCTTGCTTCGTTCGGCCGGTCATGACGGCGATGGGCTTTCTGCTTTCCGGCTCGCGCTGTACCTTGGCCCCATGCCAGGTTTAGCAGAACAAGCACGATGAGCTGGCACGCTGGCAATCGATCGTAGCCGTCACCAACTCGACGTCCGCTATCCTCGTCCCAGTGCAGTCGCTTGCATGCATCTCGCTGCACGTCGGTCAGTGCGACTCCACATCAGCAAATATCAGCGTTTGGCGTATTTGCTTCCCGGGTGAAGCTCCGCTCGCGCTCAAAGCGCTACCACAGGTCCGCGATTGCTCAGCCGCGCGACTTCAATGCATATCCAGACGAGACCCTCTGTCTCTTCCGTCACTCTTTTCTACCCACCCGCGCGTTGCAGCAGGCGCCGCGCTTCTGAGCGCTGGGGCTGAGGGCCAGCTTTTCGTCCGGTGACGTCTGCTTCGGCACTGCCAGCAGAACTCGAGGCATTGGACAACCACCAGCACCACGACGACAGCACAGCACAGCGCAGCGCATACACAGTCACCAATCGCGCATCCAGACACGTACATTGGCTGTTTCATGGACTGTCGGTGAGAGGTGTAAGTTGATTTCACGAAGCGTCCCAGCCACCTCCCAGCCCTTCACCTCCTCCCAACCACCCTACCTCGCGCGCGGAATTGCTAGGGCGCACCGCAGCAATGGCTCCTCTGCTAGCCCTCCCGCAGTCTCTGTCTCTAACATTACCCTCTCCAGCCAGCTTTCGTGCCTTTCGATATAAGCAAGCCGTCGCGCGTTGCTTACCCAATCCCAAGAGAACCAGCCGCTGGGTATCTTCTCCAACCCGGCGGGTGCCCCTCGACGGCGCAAGGGCAATTGGGCCTGAGTGAGAGTCCCTGACTTCGCGGTGACGTCCAGCGACCCATCTGAGCTCGCCAACATATTACCCTTCCAACAACCATCTTCACGAGACCACGACCGCCACGGCCCAGCGCCACTGTTCGAATACCGAACCTCCCTCCAGCTACGCCAGGAGCAAGCCGAAGCCTTCTATCGCACGCAGCACAATCGCTCGAGAGCATCGAGCTCGACCGGCAGCGTCGCAAACAGTCTTCGCCGCACGCCCAACTTCGAGCGCGCGAGATCTGTCGATCCGAGCCAACAGCAGCAGCGCGTTCGCTTCGAGACACCTCGCCCTCGCTCGACCTCCTACGCCGAGCCTCACCCCGCCCTTCGCGTCAGCCAACGTACTGCCTCGGCAATACGTTTTGTGCTCGAAGAGGGACTCCGACTTCCACATCCCTTCACCCCGGATCTGGTCGAAGAGAACGCCCTCATGTCCGATCTAACAAGTGGCCGCGCTGCCAATGGCGGCGCGCGCACAACAGGCGGTCCTGTGCCCGTTGACAGGTCCAACATACGCACGCCAACGCAGATCATGAACGCCAGACGGCAACGGGCTGAAGTGGAGGAACAAAGGAAGGCCGCTGAAGAGGAGCGCAGGAGAGCTAGCGCAGAAAGAAGAGCTCAAGCTGTTTCTGGTGTAGCTGGAGCACCAACAACGGAGCCCGGGACCCAGAGGCAGCCCCAATCGGCAGCTCTGAGATCTGGCGACCAGTATGTACAATACCCGACATCATCGGGTGGAGTGCCTCGTCAGCCAGAGAGGCCGATCCCATCACAAAACACCATGAGCGAAGCGCAGGAGACCACTACCGGCGCATCGCAATCCAGACCTCGGGCAGCTTCGCAAGCACAGCAGCAGCAGTCTCGACCCGCTCAGGCAAACCTAGGCCTACCAACGACGGCGGAACAAGGCAGACGGCCAGCTGGCTCAGGGCATGCGCGGCGACCGTCTGGTGCCACGGCTGCTTCATCGCAAGCAGGCCCTTCCACCGCTGCAGCACGCCCACCACCTCCGCCAGGCTCGTCCTCCGGACAGGTTCGCGAGTCAACCACATCCAACTTTCCGCATGCCTTTGAACGCTGGGAAACACTATCCTCGCATTGGGAAGGTCTAACCTCCTACTGGATACGGCGGCTTGAGCAGAATACCGATGAAGTTCGCAGAGAGCCGCTGGCTCAGCAAATGTCGCGCCAGATCACCGACCTGTCTGCAGCTGGAGCGAACCTTTTCCATGCTGTTGTTGAGCTGCAGCGCCTACGCGCATCTTCCGAGCGCAAGTTCCAGAGATGGTTCTACGAGCATCGCCAGGATCAGGAAAGAGCTCAAGAGCGCGAGGCTCAACTGACGGAACAAATCAACACGGAGCAGGAGGCTCGACTTGAGGCTGAGGCAAACATGGAACGCATGGCCACTGAGAAGAAGAACGCCGAACGAGCGGTGTCGGAGATGAAGCGTGAGCTTCAAATCTCGAAAGAGGAAGCACGCCGAGCATGGGAGGAGCTTGGAAGACGGGAGCAAGAGGAACGTGATCGCACGTTCTCACTCAGAGAAGGGCAGCCTACGTTGGTCGGCGGAGTGCAGGTGGTACCAATGGGGCAGAACATGGGGCGTCAAGGGAGGGGACATGGGGACGACACATACGCCGGTGCTCAGAGCAGTGGCTCGGGTATAGAACAGCACTACTCGTACGAGGAAGGTCAGTCTCCAACTGACACCGATCCCTTCACGGAAGGCGCTCGCCATGCGCACCGAGAACCCGAACCTCCTGCACACGTGGCTCAAGGAACCTACGTCCCATCAGGTGCAGCATCCGCCGCCTCCTCTCGACCTGGTGGCTCTTCGGTCGCGGACGAGGCACTAGCCCCTGCTCCATTACAGTATCCATACTACACGTCTCAGGCACAGCAAGCTCCTGCACAACCGGCCATGTCTCAGCCTGAGGCTTTTTACCAGCAACCAGGTTCATATCTACATCAAGAGTCTGAGTCAGGTCTACCAGAGGACGAACAGTCGTATGTCACGTCTCAGGCAGAGGAGTCCGAAGGCGATATCGAGTACGCCCTGGACGAGAGAGGCAACTTCATTCGCGATGATTCAGGTCGCCGCATCCCGTTCCGATCGCTTCAGTCTCCAGTATCGGATGAGTATGATGTAGAAGATGCACGTCGACGCGAGCTTGAGCATCTGCAACACTACGGCACGACTGCCACGTCTTCAGGTGCCTACGCAACGAGTTCGAGCGCGGGATCGTCACGCCAGGGTCACTCTACCGCTGGCGGTGCACCCGACTACAGTGGCGATGGCTACGGCGATGAGTGGGTAGGCATGAGACATCACCATCCGACAAGACTGAGTGACGTTCCCGAGGAAGATGAGAGGAGCCGGACGTCGCCCAGCAGAGCAAGCCAGGCCAGCCGAGGACGCCTCTATTAGAGGGATAGATACCACACGCCCTCCCACCTCGTCAACAGAAGTATCCTCAAGGCGTTTAAGCTTTGCAACCATACTGTTATCGAACTGCGGTGTTGCAGACCGTCTTCACACCAGCTCGAATTCCGCACACACATATATCGTTTCGGCATACATGTTACAGCGAGCATTACATACCAGGTCCCCTGCGATTATACCCTTCTACAAGATCTCAACCGAGCGTCCCCGGCCCTTTATGGCTGATTCTTGCATCTACGACCGCTCCCTGTACTAGTAGAACTGTCTTTTTTTTTGTTTTGCGATTTAATCTCTTCCAAGCAAGCATGGTGTTTATCGGGCATTGGCATAGGGCTGGATTGAACGATGATGGAAGGAGGACTTGGTGGTAGGGTAGGCAGTCTCCGTACGTCATGATGGAGTAATATCGGGGTTGAGTGTCTAATGGATTGAATGAACTGGAGAGATGGGTGAGCTAATGCATAAACCTCGAGTGTTCTGTTTCTGAGATTCTCATCTTTTCGTTTTTCGTCGCGTCTCTTGTCTTGGTACGTTTCCTTCTCCGAGCGTAGTGACCATTTTCTTGTTAAAGTTCTCCCTAATGTAGTTTCATTCGCATGTGTCTTCGGTAGACAGTCTTCTCAAATGTGCCGTCATTCTTTCTGCTTATGAAGAGCTTGGTGAGTATACCATTGGGCGGACATCTGCACACCTCAGTACTGATGTACTCGCGGTGAATCGAACAAGTCACGTGCCAATTAGCACAAACTGAAGGTGAGTGCCTATGAAGCACGCATGTCTCCAAGGACTAGAGACAACGAAAGGTACTGCTCTATGGAATACGCCTAGTAGTTTCTTCTAGCCCGCGCGACCCTGTTGTTCCGTATCCGACGCGCTTCTCGCGCGCTCTATTGCCCGCCAAGCATTGCTCCTTCCTCTTCTGTTGCGTCGCTGAGTCTCACCTTTTCGCGTCTCAGCTTTGACTCATCGTCCCTTCACCTCGTACAGCATTCTCTTTAGGCGATTTCGTCACGCAGCTAGACGCCAAAGTGAGCGTATCCGCCACTCCTTTTCGTCCCCCGCGATACCGGTCACACGGCTGCAAGTGAGATGCCAGCGTTCAACACAGTCGCTGCAGATGATGGCGCTACCACGGCAGCTACGGAGGGTAACATTAGCGGAAGATGGATCAATGTCAGTCGAGGTAAGATGACTTCTGCCTTTGCCTGACATTACTGACATATAGAAGATGGCAAGCTTGTTTTCAAGAAGTCCGCGTTTCCTCACCCCCAACATTCATTGACCGAACAGCCACCTCGACCCGTTCGACCAGCGTTCCAGAACATACCCAATGCAAGCTTGCACCAAGAGAGCAAGCAATGTCAGGACTTCATAGAGTGGTTGGAAAAACGGATGGAAGATCAAGATAAGAGATTGGTTCGCGCAGAGATAGGACGGGCTGAGGATAACAAAAGAGCTGCCTCGGACATGGCGGGACTGAAAGAGCGCAACAGAAGGGCGATGACCGACTTTGGCCGCGCCACAGCGGAGAAAAAAGAATACGAGAAGAAAGTGAGGGTGGCTGAAGACAAGCTGGCCTCGCTTGAGCAGCGTGAGGAGACTTTGAAGATTGCGACGATGAAGCTTAAGCATCTCGAAACTAAGTCCAAGACATTCCAAGACCTCTCTGATGCGGTTGTGGCTATGGGCGCCAAGGTGGAAAAAGCAAGTCGGGATATGAAGAACTCAGCAGCACGCAAGAGCACTCAACAATCAGCATTCGATAAGTGGGAGAGACAGTATTGCGAGCCAAGCATCCGGCTCGTTCAGCTCAACGAGCAGGTCAAACAAGAGCGAGACGAGAACCGAGAAGAGCACGCTGTACGGTCCAGGAGGTTACAAGAGCAAGAGATCTCACAGAGTCAGACAACAGACCAAAACGAAGAAGAGAAAGCGAGATTAGCAGTCGAGCGACAAGCTTTTCTCGCCGAGAAACAAGCGTGGTATCTGAAGAAAGGTCAAACACTCAGCGAGACAGAGTTCAAGCTCACTCTGAATGTTTGCGTTGAAAAGAGACTAGAAGAGATTACGCCTCTTATTGTGAAAGAAGCCCAAAGATACATCTGGACATTGCAAGAGGCGGATTGGGATGAACGCAAGACCGAGAGTATCGCAAACGCAAAAGAGCAAGGTCATGAGGACGGTTACACCCAGGGTCTTGCAGAAGGCAGACGCATTGCTTCAACTGATAGGGGCGAGATCGAGTGTGAAGCCTACAATGATGGCTATTCCGTTGGGTATGAAGCAGGCAAAACTTTCGGGATGGACTGGGTTGAGGCGGAGCACGAGATCAAGCTTCCACGGATCCAGGAAGATGCAGGTCATGCTCGCGAGACCATCCTGTTGTCTACTATCCGAAGGATCGACCACTCGGAAGATGGGACAATCCGACGGATCTATGCGTGCTGTGCAGACATGACTTGCTCTGACCACCGAAGGGAAATTGAAGTTCAACACCAATTCAGGTATAGCCAGGAATATTCATATCGTTACAGCGACGACTGGGCAAGTGGCGACCCAGAGTTCGTCCAAGAGTACACTCGTGGAAAGGTAGATGGTGAAGCCCAGGGATACGAGAAAGGTCGGAACGCGGGACAATCTCAGGGTCATCAGAAAGGTTACGCGAAGGGGTACGCCAGAGGGTTCACCGTGGGACATTCGCAGGGGAACGATGATAACTGGGAGAGCGCATATGACGAAGGCTACGCCGACGCAAATGCCGGATTCGACGGACAACTGGATGCAGCGCACAAGAAAGGAGTTGATGCGGTTGAGGAAACTTTCAAGCCGAGACTCGACAGCGAACGTCAGGCTGGTAAAACTCTGGGCTATAACAGCGGATGGATTGATGGCTACGAGGCTCATAAGTCCATGCGCAGTCGTCAAGAGACTGAAGAAGCCGAAAAAGCCGCAGAGGCTGCAGAAGCATTGGCTAATTCGTGGGGTATGGGCGGCGACGGTGATCCCAGGGATGATGGCTGGGGACAGCTTGATCAATGGTGAAGCCACGCAGAGTACTAAAGAACTGAACATGTACAGTCATGTCAAGAACTAGATAACTCGACCCCAGTGTCACAGTTTCGAAGCCCTAAGCTTCGTACTATCAACCCTCCTCCCCTCATCATCCTGCTCCTTGACTCTCAAATCCGGAAAATCCGCAGGCATAATCCTCCTCGGGCTACTCCCCTCCACCAAATTGTACTTCTCAAAATCACTAACCCCCTTCATCCGCAAGAAGTCCTCATCAAGCAGCAACTCCCCATTCACCTCTTCCACAGGCGCCTTAATCATCTGCAACACCGCATCGGAGAAGACATTCGCAGTCCTAAGATCCTTGGCATCTTCCTGGGCCATATTCTGCGTCGCAGCACTCTGCACCGCCGTCGCAGGCCAAATACTCGTAACTGCCATCTCGCTCTTTCCTTCGCGCTGGAAGTCCATCGCTAGCCCCTTTGTCAGAACAGACATGCCCACCTTGCCCATCGCATACGCCGTCTTCCCGCGGAAGAAGCGCGAGTAAATCGGCGGACTGACGATAATGATTCTGCCCTTCCAGGCCCCATCGCGCTGCTCAAAGTGCGGAAGACAGGCTTGTACGACGCCATACAGACCCTCGACGTTCACGCGCTGCATGAGCTGGAACCGCTTCATCGGGGTCTTGGCTACGCTTGCCCACCATATCGCGCCGCTATTGTACACAAGTACGTCCAGACGGCCGTACTTGGCTATTGTCTCGGCGACCATGCGCTCGATACTGGTATAGTCTCGTGTATCGACGCTTGTGGCCGTGGCTTCGCCGCCTGACTCGTGGATCTCGCGGGTCACGGTGGAGATGGTGGACGCCGGCGAGTTTGGGTCGGGTGGGAAAGGAGAGCATTTGGAGGCGTCGGAGGTGGATTTGGCGGCTACGACGACTGCGTTGTTGTCAGTGCTTTGGCTCTTGGACGGAGGAGGTGGTTGCTATGTCCACCTGCGTAGCCGTCTTTTGCTAGGTCGATGGCGATTTGTCGACCGATGCCTCGTGAAGCGCCGACGACGAGTGCGACTTGTTTGTTGGACGTTGGCATGGTGGAGAGAGCGTATTGCGTAGGGTTGAAGGTTACGTCGCGCTGGGGGAATTGTTGCTTGTTGCTAACAGCAAGAGGCGCCTACGGAACGCATGCAGACATGACATTGCAATGAGCATTCATTCTATAACCTCGGTCAATGCGTATGGCGCTGCATCTGCGGTACGCATAAGCTGCGCGGCGAGAATCCGGGGTATCCGCATCATTCGCGGTCTGAAAGGCGGAGGTGTGGTCGCGATTAGTGATAGAGTCCGGCCATGCTAGACCTCGGCAGCCAAGACACCTGGGCACTGCGCCGATCCAACGACGACGCGCATAAGACAGGGCCAGCATCTTTGCAAGTACGGCCTTGATTTCTCATCTCGTACGTTTGGACGTATTGCAAATATGGCAGGCAAAATTACGTGCTATCTAGATTGCGGTGCGTACTGACTGTCCTCTTGATCGACATCACATGCTAATTATGGACTAGTATCTCCATACTCATACTACGCTTTACTGCACCTGGAGAGGAACAAGCAGACTCTCGAAGCGCACAATGTAGAAATCGAGTCAGTACCCGTTGTTTCATTACCTAAAGCTCGAGACGAGTTCCCTTCTCTGAAACCTTACCAACGAGACTGCGCGCTCGCCAAGAGCAAGCATGATCACTGACTTCATACAGTATAGTGCCCGTCTTTCTAGGGGGTATCAATGTTGGCAGCGGTAATACTCCCTCATCCCCTCCTATGTGGAGTGCCTGGAAATCCGGTACTCGCTATGCCAAATCAATCCTGACACTGCAGCGCAGGCAACAAGCCGCCGTGGACCCTGCCAGCAAAGGCGAACTACAGCCAGTATGATGGCGCGCGAGCGAAACACCACTTTGGCGTTCCTAATCTGCAGACACCATCTTTCTTTCCGATCCTCTCATTGCTACCACAGCGGGCGTTATGCTACGTGAAGGAAGCACATGGGGAGAGTTTCGTCGCTATCTTCCATGACATCTACCATGCAATGTGGGAAAACGGCAAGGATGTCAGTAAACCGGAGATACTTGCGGAAGTTCTAAAGCAGCGTCTAAAGGAAGACGAAGCCCGGGAAGTCATGGCGAAAGCAAACAGCCCGCCATACAAGCAGCAGCTGAACGATAATACCAAGGAAGCCCTCGATCGGGGTGCCTTTGGCTGCCCATGGTTCCTTGTGCGTAACTCGAAAGGGGAAGAAGAACCATTCTTTGGCAGTGATAGGTACGTGCTCTCTCATCTGTGTCCCCGGCCCTGCCTTTTGCTTAGCATGCTCGTGTGTTCCGTTGTGGGTCGACGAGGTTGGACCTTTACTAGTACAGTTATGTACGGTAAGGCGCCCGCTACGGGGGAGATGCCGCAACGGATACAGAATGAGCTGCGAACGGTTGAAACATGGCGAACGAACACTCGAGAGCTGTGGGGCGCGCTAACGGGTATGCCATATAGGTTCCATTACATGTGGGAGTACTTGGGATTGCCGTGGAAGGATGTTCAGCTGTTGCCGCCGGCTGATGCAAAAGCGAAGATCTGACCGAGAAGATTTCGGGAGGCTGATAGGTATCCCAGTGCGTGGGGGATTGTTTGGAAATGGCGCGGGGGTGAAAGGCGGATTACGCAGTACGTGCGTCTAGACAATCCTGCGCGTCAGTGCAAATGTCTTCCAAGATGTCAGACTTTTCACCTCTTGCTCAATTTCTCAGACTTGTGTCTCTGCTCGAACGTCCTAATCGTCCCGCACAACCCTACATATCGTACCTTCAACCATCATGTCCTCGCACGCGGCATGCACGCTGCACGGTCGCCGTTTCGTACCACTCACGGTGAAGCGTGGTAGCGCAGCCACCGGAGACGGGTACAAGCTTCCCCAGACATATGCAATCGTATGCAAGATTAAGTCTCCGCGACCTGTCAAGGCAGCATCATGCGCCACCGGAAAGTATTTACCGCATGTGCGATGCGCATGCCTGACCAGATCCACGCTATTGCGGTCGGGCAACGGTACCAGGCGGTCGCTGGACTGCGGCCTTCCGGTGGCGTGGGGATTATAAGCGAGCTCGGAGGTGGATCGTTGTATGCGTGGGTTATTACTAGCCACATTAGTGAGTATATCGAAGCATGTGCAGTGTCTAGCCGGTATTGAGTCGGTATTGATAGGAAAGACTTACAGGCTTCCCCGCCTTCACCAGCGACAAGCCGACACCGGGAATTTCAGCAGATTCGGCCTTTTCCTTGTCGTGGGAACAGATTGTTGCGATGTCCGGAGTACTCCAGGGCTGATTGCGAAGCGCATGTGTGACGTGAGCGTCATGATCGACGACACATGTAGTACACGCGAGGCTCCTGCCAACCCAGCGAACATCGTCGCATCAGATTGCATACGTACCTGCGTCTCTGCACGCCATGACATCTCAGCTGGTCTCCTACTGGTGCGCCAGACACAATGGCTTGTTGCCAAGCCATGCCATGCAGATAACCGTTCGCTTCTGCACGCCGGCCAAACAAGACGATGTAGAACTTTTTTCGCCAGCTCAGCTAGCACTAAACGAGCAATCTTTCTTCAGCTCGACGCTTGACAGCTCGTCGTTATAGGTCTGCCAACCGCCATGCGAGGGGAGTGTAGACCGACACAGTTGTCAGGCAAATGGTATTTGCCTTCTTTGAGCTAGCCACGTTGAACATCACGGAGTAGCGGGATGGCAGTGCTGTTGCTTGATGGGAGTTATGCTTGCTTCTGACAATCTTTTCACATCCCAATGAGTCTGCACGAATGGAGTGCGGTTAGCCTATACGGACAACCCGTTACCCTTCCGCGCGGATTCCGGAAGACTTCGCTGATTGAAAGAAATGGCGGGTCTACCCGAAAGCTTAGGCCTCTAACTCCGCGTACCATAGTATAGCAAGACATGGGTGTGGCGTATTTCAAACGTGAGTCTCATCGCTTCAGTCAAGGTTCTGAGGCTGTCTTGGACTATAATTGTGCGGATCGTCCCTCACCTCTACATACCCAACATATGTGATTGGGCCTGTTTCATCATTTGGCTTCGGCTTCATCCTTACACTTTGTCTTGTTGGTGTACGATCCGGATCGTCAGTTCACCGTGTGCGTTTTCCATCCCCGCTGTCCACAAGACTCGTTCCACCAGCCAGAGGGCGCCGATAGAGACCTTAGTGTGTTTGCGTGTCCATACGATCATTGCCTCCATCTTTGGGCTCCTCCTGGTCCCTCTGATCTCGTGGCACATTCTGGTGAGGCTACCTCCCTTCACGTAGCCGCTCTGGCCTAGCGTACTGATGATGTGTATCGATTAGGTACCTTGCGTGGGCTCACTGTTGCATCATATAGATAGCAGGGCCAGCCTCGTCTCCTCCACTTTTGTGGCCGACCATTCACAATACCAAGTCTGGAAATTGCAAGATTTAGCGTTGTTGTCTACCTACCTTGGCAGAGCTTTGTACTCGCTCGAACTCCGCATCCCCACCGCCTAATCTCGTGAAGCGGTCAGGTCCGTTGAGCGAATGATAGAGTGTCACTCCTGTGAATACTGAACGTGCCCGTGTGCCTCGACATCTCGACAGCACCCCGCAATCTTCAGTCACGCCCACTTCACAGCGGTGGTATCCCGCCCGTTTTGGCCTCGCGTAATCGCGCATTCACGCCGACTTGCAATACTATTGTAAGGTTAGCGTCTCTTGGGGTACCCATAAGAGGCGGATGCCGCGAGAGCAGTCATGGCTCTCGCTCAAGAAGTCCCTCAGGATTGCAAGTATCTTCTTCCTCAATCTCTTGCTCAGATTCAGCCCCGCCTAGTCTACGTCCCGGAACCTACCTCAGCGGATCAATTTCGCGACTTCCCTGACTATACTGGAATGCCGGATTCAATGATGGTAAGTGTCGCCTATGCTGTTGCGGCACCGAAACTGACAACTGTGAAGGCAAGTCACTATGTGCAGACCCAGCCGTATGCACTGCAGAGGGTCGAGCAGGAGGACACCAAGTCGACAGGCGCAGCACCTGCCACGCCGAGCTCCAACAACCTCGCGTACTCATCTGGCCAGCACTGGAGCGGAGTCCCTACACCCCCGTTCGACTGGCACCATGCTATCCAACAGACGCAGCCTTACGTCGTACCAATTTCGGACCTGCAATTCCGCCGGAATCAGGTCCTGACATACAACCCTACGCCCATCACACAAAACAGTATCGCGAAGAGCTTTAGCGACCCAATACCCTGGCCGTCCTCGGAACTCCATGGGCTGCCTCGTGGGATGACCGCCAACAGCTCTGTCCTGGACGAGAGCATATCACTGTCGCCAAAGAGTTACCGCAGCGATGATCTCGAGAACACATACAGTCCAGGGTCTATGCTAGACCAATCTTCGCCATGCGGAAATTGGAGCGTACCTTCAGCGACTACCACCAACGTCGCCATCCTTTCACCTCCCTGCAGGTCTTTCCTTGTACACGATGTAGATGGCGACACTGGATACTCAGGACTCCCGAGGATGGACGAGGACATGGCTAAGGTCACAGCGCCATCCGGCTATCCTAGTCGAAGGGACCAAAGACCGATTGCCTCTTTCGGGGAGGACTACAACTCTGGATCAGATTATTCGCGATCTCAGACTAGTAGCGCTGGCCATTCTCCGTGGTACGGTGAGAACTTCGCGTATAACAACTCCAATCTAGCGTTCAGGACCCGCGACGTTGTGCGCTCCAGTCACCCAACCAGTAATACTAGCATATCGTTGACAGACGAAGCAAACACATCGCACTATCCTGTGACGCCCTGGAGTACTTCATGCGCGGATGCCGGTCTCCACAGCCGTATCCAGGACAGGTTCCACGTTCCACGCAGTGCTGGTGCCCAAGCCCAGCGAGAGCACAACGATCAGCTGCTGATCGATGGAAAGAAGAGAGGAGAGACGTACAAGGAGATCAAGTCGAAGATGGTCGGTGAGAAGCCTGCAGAGTCTACTCTGAGGGGTCGCTACCGATCCTTGACCAAGGCGAGAAAGGATCGCGTCCGGAAGCCTGTTTGGACAATAATCGATGTAAGCCGACCGTTTGGATTTACATCCGTCATAGTAGACTGACACATCGACAGCTACAGCTCCTGAATGAGACCGTTCAGCAAGAGTTTGATCGTATCGAGAGCAACCTCCAGAACCCGTACTCGCTAAGCTTTGAGCAAAAGATTCTCAAAGTCGCTTGGAAGAAGGTCGCAGAGTTTATCGCCGACAACGGTGGATCGTATCATTTCGGCAACGCGACGTGCAAGAGGAAATGGTTGGAGCGCAACCACGGTCGCAAGTGATCGGAGATACACATGGGCATGTCGAGCGACGGCATCGACACCTCCTCATCCTCCAGTACGCTTGACTGGTGTCAAGTAATGTTCACTTTGAAGGCAAAAACTGCGACCACCGGAACATTCCCCGACTGCACAGCGTTACTGTTGCTGTTGAGGCACCGAGGAATGTTGCCGGGGCACATGTCTTCTGCGAATGCGCGGAAGATCGCCGCATGGCAGCATCTGTTATTTCTGCTACTTCCGGAGTCGTACTCCCTGTCTGTACTACCTTGTTCTATTGTTATGTTGATGGTAATGTTGGCGGATATGTTTGCCTTAGTAGCATCTTGGGGGCGTAAGAAGCCTCCATGGCCTAGATGGGGAAGCTGCAAAGCATGGCGGTGGCGTGACGTCGTTTCGGGAGGTCTTTTGAGCGGGTTCTTGACGATATAATATCCCTTGAATTGAATGTGGCACGTCGAAGCAGATGCTGTATGACAAACGTGATGGCGATAGTGTAGGAGATGTCGTGAAGTGTGAAAACAATTCTAGACTTTGGCGCTAGCTCGCGGTGGAAGCTCGAACGGTTGAACTGCCCACCCACCCCATCTGTCATCGATACGCGACAACGAATGAAGATGATTCTCGGGCTATCTGAAGCTCTTCCGAGCATCACAAAGCGCAAGTTTGAGGCTGCAAAGGCGTCGTCGGATCTGCTGTTCTCGCCCACGGAGCTAGCCATCATCCGCTCATCTGCAGGCATTCCCGTGAGTATGCCGACCGTGCCACCACCACCAGGCTCACACGCCAGCAGTTCCAATTACGATACTGCCCGTCGCTCGCCAAGAAACCCATTCCGAAGCTCCAGAATGCGACGCCCAAACAGAAGATCGACCCGTTCGAGAACCCCCCACCCGCCCTCCACCTGGCCGACATACCAGCCGCCAACCCAACCCACTTCCTCGTCCTCAACAAGTACCCCATAATATCCGAGCACTTCATCCTGGCGACAAAACCCAACAAGAAGCAAACACACGTGCTCGAACAGGACGATCTGGAGGCGACCTACGCCGTCTTGAAGGCATGGCAGGCAGACTCGGGCGGCGACGAGAAGCGTCTCCTCGCCTTCTTCAACTCCGGGGACCACAGCGGCGCCTCTCAGCCCCACCGACACTTGCAGTTCCTACCTGTAGAAGGAATGCGCGATAGCAACAATGCTAGCGACTGGGGCCTGCTCATAGATTTGATCTTGTCGAGCCCGGCAGCCAAGGCAACGGGTAGGCGTCTGACAACTCTGCGCTTTCTCGTAGCTAACGCGCATCCAAGAACAGCATCCCGCATTCCTGCAACATCCTTCTCTGCCGTTCACGCACTTTGCCTACCCCTTCGACTCTGAGCCATCAGGTACCCAGTTACTCGATGTCTATAACCGTCTGTACGACGCCGCGAAAGCCGCAGTCGACGCCTTCATTTCCGCGAATCCGAACGATTTCGCTCTGCACCCCACCGACGACGGCGATCTACCCATGAGCTATAATCTTGCCATGACGACTGCAGGCATTGTCATTCTGCCTAGACGCGCCGAGGGCACCATGCTTCACCGCGATGACGGCAGTGAGATCGGCTTCGTCGCTCTGAACGGTACAACGTTAGGAGGCACGATGATGGTCAAGCATCAAGACGAGTGGAACATGCTACGCCACGAGTCAGGGTTGCTAGACCGCATCCTGGGTGCTATTGGCATTCCAAAACCTCCTTCATCCAAAGTGGGCTCATCCAACATATGACCGGACCTAGGTAGGATCCACGTGGAGTATCGCTAGCCAGGCTGGTCGAGTACGACTGCGAACGAGCGAGTCCTTGCATCCTTCTCCAAATCCACACCAAAAAGATCACAAGCAAATGTATATGTGGACGAGTGATACCATGGCCACTTTACGAGACGCGAATGTCTAAGACGTGACGCGCACGCGACAACGAGCATGTGCCGCATCCGCATCTCACGAGTAATGATAACCACCTAACGCAGCCAAACATGAAGAAGTCTTGAGAGATTGAGCGCGATCGCGCAACGTCTAGTAAAGATACAACATCGAAGATTTCAGTATGTAACAGGTTGTGTCGATGACCTCGGTTTGTATTTTGTAGAAAGCCCGGGTAAGTCATCTGGTGTTGAACGGCACGTGAGCTGGCGCGGTCATGAGACCACTCCTCACCAAAACAAAAAAGGTACTCATGATGCATCAAATGCGAACACAAACTTCAGCTGAGCAAACTGCGGCGAGGTGATACATTGTCAGAATGACTGTCCGGCTGGTGAGTTCTCGTAGTGCAAGGTTTGAATATGCATCCCACCGTCACCTTTCACACTCCGCATTCATTGTATATTCCATAGCCTAGCATCATGAAAGAAGAAGCAGAAAAAGCCGTAGAGACAGTACGTTACATGATAGTCATCGCATGCATAGACAAGGTGCTGATCGAACTTGCCTAGGCCAAAGGGTTACTCCAAGACTTTGTAGTCGTGGTTTCCCTCGTGCGGACCTTGACGGAATCTTTCGGTTCTGCCAGTGATCTATACCGCAAGCTCAAACGTAGATCTGGTAAGAAAGATAGCGACGACGAGGAAGATGAGTATCATATTCAGGGGCCATGGCATAGGCGTCGTCGCGACTCCATGTTTGGCTCAGAGAAGAGGAAAGGCGACTACAGTGACAGCGAGGAAGAGCTCATATTCACCTCTTCCTCTCAGATCCGAGCCGAGTACGAACGTGGGTATCGGAAGCTAGGCGAGCCGTTTGCGCGTGGCGATGGTATGTTCTCATTCAAGTTCACATCGCCAGGTACTGATGTCGAACAGTTACAACGCATACCCAGCTGCAGTCTCAAATTATAAAGCTTCAGCAGACGGTCATCAATATTCAACAAGATCTGCTGCTAAGCACGTATATGGCGCCGTCATCTTCGCACTCGCACCTTGTACGTCTGATTCAGACGGCTCGCACAGCGCGTGCAGCTTCCATCGCTTCGTTAAACATGCAGTACGAACGCATGCTGCCACCACTCCCCTCACCGCTATTACCTCGACAACCCGACGCACCTTTAAGAGTCCCTGGCGCATTTCCACTACCCGACCATCCGCGACCACCGTCAAGACCGTTGCGGCACAAGAAGCGCATGGACAGCAGCTCCAGCTCCTCGTGCGAGTCAAAAGAGGTCTTGATCAAACCGATACCAATCGTGAAGCCCAAACCAAAGCCCACGCCTATACCTCCACCCCCTCCCCCACCTCAGCCTCAGCCTCAGCCTCAGCCTCAGCCTCCATCTTCACGCTACAGCACGAGGCTCTTCTGTATCTACGCCAAAGACCTCCAACACAACCCCCGTCTCCACCTCGCCGACGCCTACCGACCCACCGGCGACCACAAGTGTCCTTTCTGCCGCACACATGTCCCCATCCAACCCGGAAAAGCGTGGGAGCTCGTCGTCGACGGCTACAAGAAGAAAGACGAACACGGGCATTGCAAGACGGTACCGCGAACGTTTCGCATCAAGAACCGCTTTATTGTCAAGAGCCATAGAGAAGGTGGGGGCTTTGCATGTGTGCTTTGCGCGAGGTTCAGGAAGTCGGATACCGTGTGTAGGGGTATCGAGGCGTTGATGGATCATCTTTGGAGGGAGCATGCGAGTGAGGAGTTGGAGAGGGATGCGGATATCGTGGAGGTGTAGAGGGGTGTTTGGGGTTTTGTTCGGTGCTCTAATGATTGGCGTTGGTGATACCCTTTTCGTAATGATCTGCTGCGTTGAACTTCCATTTAATACTTTTGCAATATAATCATGGATGCTATATAAACTGTGCAATCAGACTCCAAAGTCCAATTAATACGCGTAGAAAACGTTGACACCATCCCTCTTCAGCCGCCGGTTCGTCACCTGGAGCCACGCCCTCAGCGCCCAGGCCGATGCAATACATGCCCCGGCAAACGCCGCATTGCTACTCATAGCAATTACATACTTGGGTCCGTCGCTCGCGGGATACAGGTAAGGCGTGTAGATAAAGCTAGCCATGGAAACCACATTGACTATGGACAGCGACACAGCCTTTTTCTCCGTGGTCTGGCCTAGCGTCCCTGACACCCAGCCCAAAATCACTGAGTTGACCGAATAAACGCCTGAAACAAGCAATGTTAGTAATAGGTCTCACGATAGGAGTGTCAAGAAGGACGGGGATGATGGAGGGGACAACGCACCGGAAGCGAAGAGGAAGCAAGAGATGTAGCGCGCGGCGGTGTTGAGCGTGATAGCACTAATAGCGAACCCAACGACTGCGATACCCATCATGACAGTGATGTGCCATGTTCTATCGTTGAACTTGCCAGACGAGATCCCAATGCATATGCCGACCACGCCGGCGACGAGCGACGGCGGAGCAGTCAAGACCAACGTGATGGTTGTACTGAAGCCCAGAGACCTGACTACAGTAGGGAAGAACTGTGTTTTGTTAGTAGCTGTAACACGAGAGTTATCCGAAGAATGGCTGATTGCGACATACCTGATTGAAAGACGTAGCGCTCAAATGCATATTCTGCATAAAGACCAGAAGATAAAGTCTTGGGTCGCGCAGAGCTTGCATGAAACCCGCTTTGACCCCTTTGCTTGGCTCCAGTCCAACAGTGTCCCGCTGGATACGATCGTGCGCCAGTTGACGTTGTTCAGGTGTGAGCCACTTCGTTGTGAGCGGCTCATCCGGTAGTAGGAATACACAGACGATCGACACGCCGACTGTGACGATGCCTTCGATTATGAAAAGCCACTGCCATCCGTGCATTCCATGCTTGTCGTCCAGTGTCGCGAAAGTAGCCGCGGCAATGAGTCCAGCGAAAGAGACGGCGAAGATGTTTCCGGCATACAGGATAGATACTCTTGTAGCGATTTCCTTGCGCGTGTAGAACATGCTCAAGATGTATAGAGCGCCTGGATAGAACGGGGCTTCGACGAACCCGAGGAAGAAACGTACGAGTACCAGTCCAGTGTAGTTTTTGACTAGAGCTGTGAGAGCTGCTACACAGCCCCAGATGGAGCAGCACAGAGCCATGTAGAGCGAAGGCCGCACTTTTTTGGACGACATGAGCATGTTACTGGGTATCTGCGCAAAGAGATAGCCAACGTAAAGAATGGATATGCAGGTGTTGTATTGGTTTCCGACTAGACCAAGGTCGTCTTCGAGATCGTTGAGGCGCGCGTTTGCTATCGCATTCTGGTCGAGCTTGTTGCTGGTAGCACAAGTGTTAGCAATGTGAAGATTAAAGGGTTTTTGTGACGTACAGAAAGTACATGCAAAAGAGCGCTGGCATCACTCGCATGTCGAGCTGGCGTACCAGCGCGATCTCTGCTGGATCTGTCTTGGCAATCGCACCACTGTAGTCGGCGCCATCGAGCGCAGCTTGCGCCTTGAGGTCTTTTTCGGATGTCGCGACATCGTCGATTTGCAGGGGTACATTCTTCTCGGTATCTTCGTAACGGTCGGTGTTTGCGTTGGCCATGTTTGGCAATCTTCAGAAGCGCAGGATTGATGACTCGGTCATGTGCAGGATTCTAAAGTATCCTGGAGAACAGCACAAAAGGTCAATCCTCCCAAGAGAAGCGCCTTCTATATACCCCAGCTGGACGAACGTTCCCCAGAAAGTCCATGAGCAAGCTTGACCCCGGACTTTCCCCAGACCCCAACTTCTACGTTGCGGCGCGGAGAAAAACATGGGGAACATGACAATGTCCAGAGCGTCCCGCGGCGTCCGCTACGAGTCAAGTTAAAGACTAGGTAATTGGCCATGAGAATCGTCGGCTGGTCCTGGGTGGAGAGCGGCTTGCGGCTGGAAGACGCTAGCGCGGACAAAGACATGTCCGGTCCGCCTGAGCGGCACATCGGCTCATGCCAGTGGCACTACGTCGGAATATTGCAAGTCCCCGTTACTCGCATGACTCCATCGAGGCTCCAAAGAGCAAACCGGAGCGATTCATCATGGCGTTTTGGCGGACTCTCTCAAGTCCGCCTGCCAAACATGCGCTCGAGACCTAGCACGAAGTCGTATGCTGCAGTGAGATCGTCCAACGTTTGCCGCTCGGCATTTCCATGTAATGGATGGGCGAAGTACATATAACGCAAGCTTTCGATCCAAGATTCAGCACCATCCAACGCAAATCAAACTCATCCACTCTCCTACAATCAACTCTTACTCCCTATCCAAACCCCACTACTTCTCTCACCACAATGGGTTCCATGCCTGAGGTCAAGCAAGCTCCCCAGATCGACCTCGCAGGTCTCGTCCCTGCGCCGGTCACTCCATTCAACAAGGATGGCTCGGTCGACTACGCAGCCATCCAGCGCCTTGGCTCCTGGCTCGGCAGCATTCCAGGCGTGAAGGGTCTTGTCGTGCTGGGACACGCTGGCGAGGGCACTTTCCTCACCCAGGAAGAGCAAGTAGAAGTTATCAAGGCCTTTGTTAAGTCTGTGGACAACAAGATCCCCATCATCGCTGGTATCACCACAGAAGGCACTGAGGTGGCTGCGCTCGAAGCTCAACGCGCCAAGGCTGCTGGTGCGCAAGCGGGTCTTCTGTACCCCAGCCATGGCTGGCTACGCTTCGGATATCAGCCGGGAGCGCCCCAGGACAGATACAAGACTGTGTACGAGAAGTCCGGACTTCCTCTCATCCTGTTCCAATATCCCGACAACACCAAGGCTACCTACAACCTGGACACGCTACTCGAGATTGCCGCACAGCCCGGTGTCATCGCTATGAAGAACGGCGTCCGCAACATGCGCCGTTGGGACGTCGAGATTCCCATTATCAAGAAGCAAAACCCTGATCTTACTATCCTCACATGTCATGATGAGTACTTGCTACACACATGCTTCGACGTCGACGGCATGCTTGTTGGGTACGGCAACATCGCGCCCGAACCGCTGCTTGAGATGATTGAAGCCGGCAAGGCGAGAGACTACCCTCGTGCGAGAGCTGTTCATGACAGACTGCTCCCAGTCACCAGGAACGTTTACCATCGTGGCTCGCACATGGAGGGAACTGTTGCACTCAAACATGGTCTGGTGGCGAGGGGTATCTTGGAGCACGCGACAGTGCGAAGTGGACTTTTGCCATTACAAGACGGCGCAGAGCAGGAGATTCATGCTGCATTCAAGTCAGCCTCGCTAGGCAAGGTCACACCGCCAAAATCGGGTTGATTGTATGTAATTGGTATTATTAGTATTCCTCTTGACGCTCAATGAAAGCTTTGTTCATGATAAAGTGGATTTTCTGTCATCGCAGGGTCGTTCCCGAACCAGTAATTGATGTCTTCGCCGTTGAAGAGATGCATGATTTCCTCGTTGGGTAAGGGATTGTCTGAATATTGCTGTGCAATACCAAGAAAGTTCCCTGCTCCCGCAAGATAGTCGAAGGTTAGGCTGTTGGCATTTTGCATATCGGCAGATTGTGCGTTGGCGTTAGATAAGGTTGACTCTGCCGCTTGGGTTGTGAAGCTTGCGGAATATGGTACTGCATGAGGCTGATCGGTAAGTCTCTGGAGCTGTCCTGTTGGCGTCACTGTGCCTGTCGCTGGATTGTGTCTTGAGGCCGCGTAATTTCCCGAACGATTTGCTATTACTTGTCTCTGAGTTTGCCAATTATCCATGCCAATGGAAGGGTCGCGAGTAGCATGAGTTGCCGGCCGCGAGCTGTCCCTAGACGTGTTCGTAAGGTCGCGGCTACATGGCTTATCGAGTCGTGTGACAAGGTTTTGAATAGCGACTATGCATGCGTCTGGCCAACTCGTACCCCTCAACGCCAGGTGCTTGAGAATCTGAATGCTTCGGTCTGAGAGCCTAAATGCGATGTCGCGCGTAACCTGTCCGTCCGCAGCAGCAGACAGGATAATAAACGTACTCATCCATACTGCCCAGGTAAATGATGGCCAAAGCAGAGGAGTTCTTTCGTATCCATGTTGACCGGGTGAGCCATCGAACGCCCCGAAACCCCGGAGGGCTTTGTGTAATGTGTTTATTATGGAGCGCGAGGCTGATATGCAGCGCTGGAGCGCAGCGTTGTATGCAGCGTTCTTCTTAGACGTTGCTAACACAGAACGATGGAGAGCAAGCACTGACTCGAAGCGAAGGACGATGAGTGTGACTTGATGTGCTTTGGATATGGTTTGTGTCTGCTCGTCATTAGACAAGTGTTCATCGACCATATTCCACCACTTAGTATGCTCTGCCTCCACTTCCAGGGCTTGATCGACATCATCGGCGCTACCATGCAGCATAGATTGGTGTCGCGTTTGCATGATGGATCCACGGATGTCGGCGTGGCGAGCTAGAAAGTCCAATAAATCTAGTCGGTCATCACGGGTGCGATCTTGAGGCGAGTTAGCCGAGAACCCTTGAAACCCAATCTGCTACAAACATACCAGCTTCCTCAGGCTCCCGTAGGTGTCGCTCTGTGTGTGGGTAGCAGACATTTGCCTCGTCTGACCTTATGCCGAGCGGCGTACCAAGCCGGATGCATATATATCTATCGATGCATATCACAGACCAGAAAAGCCGCTTCCTTAGCTCAGCTTCTTTGCTTGGAACTGATAAATGTAACGGACAGCGATGCAGACTCAACTGGAAGGCCATTCGAACGGCCAAACCTTCCAGACGCGACGCCGCGTTGTACCTGTGCATCGTAATTAAAAACAATTGTACGCTAACAAGAGCCTGCAAAGAGAGGATCGAGCTCTCTTCAGTCAGCACCAACTGGACGCTCCTGATGGCGTCGTTGACGGAATGGAATACGAGTGTCGTAGGCACTAGCTTGTGTGTAAGATTCATCTGTCGCCGGTCGTGGATGGAGATTGACATGATGGAGCGAAGTATGATGTGTTGGAGTTCGTTTGCTGTAGATTGAGATGCGATGCGAACGCCTCTCGACACGATTTGACGAAAATAATCCAGTAAAGAGGGCGCATGAAGAAACGGAAAGGCAGGATGCCAATGGTCGAAGTAAGACTGACTCCATTCGAGAAGGTCATCAAATGCGATAGCTGATGTGACGCTCTCTGGTGCAAGCGGGCGTACTTCGTCTGTTTTCCAAAGCCATCTTGAAGCACTCTTTGCAGCACCTGCGGGTAGCTGATCATCTTCTCCGGGTGCAGCATCACTCTCTGGGGTATCGACATGACGCACGGACGCCTGGTTCGCGGCAATGTTTCCTGCGCTGGACGGAGGCCTGAGGTTGCTGCCGGGGCTGGTGCCGAATGTACTGCGACTGTGATCCTGAGGGCTTGTTCCTTCGTTTCCGAATTCCCGAAGCTGCTGGCCCATTGTCTGAAGAAATGCTCTACGTTTCCTTACCGCCCCGACATCGGGCACCGCTGTGTTAGATTCCGACTCATCATGAAGAGCCTGTCGCTTGTTGGACCTCGCATTGGCTTCGGCCATCATCTATCCGACGATGCACTACACATGAAGCTTGGATATCAAGCTTTAGTTGTACTGGGATCGATATCGCCGCGGCGACGGTCATACACTGCAGTTGTGGGTGGCTGATGGAGATAGAAGAGGCTGGAGGTGGTTGAGCTGACAGACGCGACGAAGATGACGCTTGACAAGCTATGAACCCTGGCAGCCTCATGGCGTTAGTGCCACGCGAGTCAGTTTCTCGGCCTGAAATTCGCGTTGCAAATTCACTGTCAACGTGTGCTTTACTTGCTACATGCTGTTTTCATAACACGTTTCAACATGGGAAAAATACACGTAGGATCGCAAAGATTCGTACAATCTCAAAAATATTTACGCCATTGTTCTGTAGTTGAAGGACGCGAGTCAAGCGACGTGCCCACCGAAGGTGCAACAGGCTCTGGTCTGCCATCGCCTGTCGAATACGCTTCGTTTCCTAAATTTCCTCGCGGCGACATAACCGTCATGTCTTGGTCTTGATGAAGAAGACCTGGCGCGGGTTCTGGAACACCGAGTACATCTGGTGCTAACTGCCACGCAGCTTGCGCCAACCGAGGCTGCTGCGCAAACGGGAGGTTTGATCCGTCCACAACTGATGACCGCACATCCTCATAGTGTTGTGCCACCACAGGACTCGACTCCATGACCCACGGTTCCGTCTGCGCAGGGCTCTCCTGAGATGCGTGACTACTGCCTGCTTCAATGCCTTTCCTTATAAGATCTTGTCTTCTTGACCACCAAGACAGACGTTCCTCGTCCGTGTTGAGGGGAAAGCTCTTCCATTCTTCTATCCTGTTCGACTTGGCCTGCTTCTGCACATTCTCTGCTAGTACACGGCGATCTGTGTCAGAGAGACGTTGCATCTCAATCGGTACCTGAGAATTGTAGATCGTGGAAAGGAGCTCCAACACGACAATCTCGGTCTCGAGCAATCGCTGTTCGACGAAGGATATATAACCCGATGGGATGCCTCTATTACAACCTTAGCTTCGCTTCCAAGAAACCACTCTCTTCACACCTTTTGTTAAGCGGCGGATACCGACACGAAGTCCCTGCCGATACACATTGCGAGCAAATCGGTAATTCGCGATCGCACTGTAGTCCGTTAGTTGATGCGTTGCGATGCTGGTTGATGGCGAAGACCTTTGACTTCTTGTTGCGACAGGACTCACATGCAATCGGATGGAAGGCACCAGATTCGTTCTAGATCGTATGAGAAGGCTGCCAAGCTTGAAGATCTGGGGTACTTGGGACTACTCACCATTGCATCGGCGCTGCATGGGCACCGCTGGCGGAAGGCGGTTCTTTCTTCGTGCGCTGCCGGACTTGTCTTTGTCCTAGCGTGATGCCCCGCTTGTTGTTCGGAGCTGCATTTGCGGGGATGACAACCCAGACGAAGCTACCTCGCAACAATGCAAAGTTCCCGAAGAGTTATCTCGAGAGCAGGGAAAGACATTTTTGTATCGAATCATTACACATCAAACTCTATCAAACTCATCATCCCAGCCCCAAGCCACCAATGTAACTACCACAAGTATCACCACCTCACCCCTCCAAATACTTCGCCCCACTCCTCGTACTCCCCTTCAGAACCCTCCCCGGCGACTTCGACCTCCGCTCCTTCGCCATCTGAATCGCATGTTCGTCGTCAAGAACAACCTCTTTCCCTGCCTTCGCTTTGCGCGCCGCTCTACCTGCTGCAGCCGCTTTGCTCACCTTCTTCGTAACCGCTGTGGTTTTGGTGGTCTTTTTGGTAGGCTTGGCCTTGGTGGACGTGATAACAGTGGTGAGTTCCTGGACATCTTTTGCGAGGTCGTCGTCAGAAAGCTCGTCGGAGTCGTCAGATTCATCGGGTTGGAAGTGGACGGCTTTACCTGGAGACTTCTGCGTCTTGGTTCTGCTGCTTTTCCGTGAGGAAGACACGACAGACTTTGACCGCTTGGTCTCAGGGGTGTAGTTTTGTTCGCTGAGACTGCGTTTACGCTTGGGCTGTTTCTTGGTGGCAGTCTTGGGGGTAGCGACGTTGGTCTGGCCTGGGGTAGGCTGCGTCTTGGGAGGTGAAGCCTGGGTAGACTTTGGCTGACGACCATTTGGCTTGTTCGGGATGACCACCTGTGGATGGATACTAGTCTTATCCGGCGATGCAGGACTGGGAGCTGCAGTACTGACACCGCTTTGGCGTCTCGGGCTACGCTCGAGGGATGTCGCGCGCTCTCGATTGAGCTTCCTAGCGACAGGTGAAGTGGTTTGTGGGGTTCGTGTAGGTATTTCCAGGTTCGCCTGCTTTGCTGCGTTGAGAGCTTCTTCTGCTTTACGGACCTTTTCACGAGCTATGCGAGCTGCCGACTGTGCGGCACGAGCTTTGTCCCCTATAGCATGCGCATCCTCGTCTTCTAGGCGTGGCTGATCAATACTGCGGCCAATAGCACCGGTACGAGACTTGACAGGTGTCGTGTTGACAGCATCGCGGATCGTTGTAGGATCTACCAGGTTCATGTTAGCGAGACACATCCAAAAGAAAACTACATTGCTCACCTTGAGTTCCTGCGGAGAATTTGTCCAGGAAGACTCGTGGCGTATATTTATAGTTGCCGACGCGCACTTTATCATCATTTTGGTTCATTTCTTCCACAACCTCTTCCAGGCTTCCAGGAGTTCCCAAATTGCTGATCTCCTCTTGAACTTTGGCACTGGGTATCGGAAGCTTGAAGCGTGATCCGGACTCGTATACCGGGAGGTTCTTGTACTGCTCCAATTCAGGGCGATCAAAAGGTATGTTGGTCTCGACAATCTTGCCCTCTGCCTTCATCTTCTTGCCAGACTCGGAAAGATCAAAGTCAATCTTGAGACTCTCCCAATGCGCCATCTGGAAGGTCTCTGGAAACGGCAGCGAGGCTGGATAGTTCTGGTGCCACTTTTCAGGTTCGTTGTTCGGGCCACCGTACTTGAACCGTTCCTCGCGCCGTACCTTTGTTTCTGCTGCAGGCACTTGTTTGGGGGGCATGACCTGAGGTTCGTCCGGTGTATCGCCTCTTCGATAAAGGGCTTGCGTTGCAGAAGGCGTATCGGATTCTGATACCTCCTCTATGATCATCGACGTAGGAGAATCCCCGCCTAGCGAAGACGATGAATCTTCTCGCGTAGCTTCTTCTTCAAACTCGAGCCGCGCTTGACGAATCATAGCTTGCGCGCGCTGATACAGCTGGTCGTCGAAGTTGCTTTCTTGCGGTGGAAGTCGCTGGAGGAGATCCTCGTCGATCGTTTCAACGCCATCCATATAAGTGGTACCAGTGTCATCGCCTCCTTCGTCAGTCAGGTAGCGGATCGCTTGAGCTAGTTGCATGTCGTTGATCTCTCGCTGTGTCGGCTCCTCCTCGCTAACTGAAGGGGCGTTTTCGAAAGCTGAGACATCCATGAGATCCGGGGATTGAGTCACCTCGAAGTCGTGACTTGTGAACGCCATTATACTACTGGAAGCGCCTGTCTTGATCTGGGACAATGTTTGTTCACTTGAGCACATTAGCAGGTGACATTTCATTCATGCACGTAGCAAACATACGAAGACGTCTATGCTTCAGACGACTCTTGAACCTGACCAAGCGAAAAGTCGATACGTCTCTTGCCATGATGCCGGACGGCATTTGAGTGTGCAGTAGCCTGTAGGCGTCTTTGTCATGATGGCCGGGTACTGGACAAAGGCCATCTGAAGCAAACAGCTGCGGTGGCTGCCGCAAGCGGCATTCCTACTTGAGATTGTTTGACTATCATACCGACGTTTCTTCTTTGTGCGTGTCAAAGATACCCAGACGTGATTTATAGCCATTGTCTCGGCGATGGTTTACCATTCAGCTGCTGGATGAGCATGCTGGGGCAGGACAGCTGCACCCAATTGACACTATACTTACATGCCACCGACGCGGAGTAGCATATGGCTTTCTACGGGCAATGCAAGAGGTTGGCCATGTCTGGGCGATGAGGGGAATGCAGCCACTTCAGGATATCGGAGGGAAGGTGGGCAGGCTTACTCGAGAGACGACTGGGGTGCCCCTAAATGCCTCGGCTCCACAGCTCCCATGGTGCCCACTGCCGCTAGCTGTGTGGTCAAACGTCACTAGCTGGCGACAACGGGGTGTCGCGGAAAGTTGATGAGTGGATTGTATCTGATCAAGTCTCTCCTTTTGTCTATGCGAATACTGGACGTTGCGCGATTGTAGCATTTTTTATACGTTTCGTTGTTTCTACAGATCTATTGGTTACCGGTTATGTCAGGTAATCTCGCGTCAGCCTGTAACCACACGGCGCAGCTCGCTGACACATTCCACCGCCAGTTCTTCCCTTTGCGCTGCCCGCCGCCGCAGCTGGTCTCGCGTATCTTAATGGCCGCCATGGCTTCACCTACGACTGGCCCCTCCTGTCTTCGTTCATCGGCAGCAGCATCGTCGGCGCGCAGCAGGAACGACGCGACACGCTGAACCTCTTCTACGAACTCGAGGCGCATGCCCACTCCTCTGCGCGCGCAGACCATGCGTGGATCATCTTCCAGGGCAAGACATGGACGTATGCGCAGGCTTACGACGTCGTGCTGCGGTACGGGAACTGGCTGAAGAGCAAGGGCGTGGACAAGGATGAGATTGTCGCAATGGACTTTGTCAACTCGGACGTCTTCATCTGGGTCTGGTTTGGCCTCTGGAGCATTGGCGCGAAGCCCGCCTTTATCAACTACAACCTCTCCGGCAAGCCGTTGGTCCATACCGTCAAGACGAGTACCGCGCGCTTGGTGCTGGTGGACCAGGAGAGCAGGGACAAGTTCAGCGAAGACGCGCTGAAGGAGCATGGCCTCACTCGCGTCCACCACGCAGACAAGGTCAAATACACGTTTGAGCAGGAACCGTCCGACGTCCCACAATCAGTCAAGAACCAGACACAGACTCCCCAAGCCGCCGTCGAAGCTGGCGCCGTCTCCGAGCCTCTGACTGCGCAGCGAAACCTCGAAATCATCTTCTTCGACGACGCCCTGACCTCGACCATCCTCACGCACCCGCCGACGCGCCTCCCCGACTCGGCTCGCTCCGACCAAAAGCGCAGCAGCATGGCCATGCTCATCTACACGTCCGGCACAACGGGCCTGCCCAAACCCGCCGTAATGTCCTGGGGCAAATGCGGCGGCGGCGCAAAGTTCGCCGCAAGCTGGATGTCACTAAAGAACGACATCGTCTACACCTCCATGCCCCTCTACCACAGCTCCGCCTCCGTCCTGGGCGCCTGCGCCGTCCTACGCGCGGGCAGTACAATCCACCTATCCAAGAAATTCTCCCACAAGACCTTCTGGCCCGAGATCCGCTCCTCACACGCCACAATCCTGCACTACGTCGGCGAAACATGTCGCTACCTGCTCTCGGCGCCGCTCTCCCCCCTCGACAAACAGCACCACCTCCGCGCCGCCTTTGGCAACGGCCTGCGCCCAGACGTCTGGGAGCCCTTCAAACAACGCTTCGGCATCAGCACCATCTACGAATTCTACGCCGCAACCGAAGCCCCCGGCGGCCTCTTCAACTGCTCTTCAAACTCCTTTTCCAGCGGCGCAATCGCCCGCAACGGCCTCCTCGCCAACTTCCTCATGACGCGCAAACTCACCCTCGTGCGCATGGATCCCAACGCTGATCCCCCAGAGCCCCTCCGCGACCCCAAAACCGGTCTGTGCCACATCAGCGACTACAACGAGCCCGGCGAGTTACTCGGTAAACTGGATGCAGACAATATAAAAGACGGGTTCCAAGGCTACTACGGCAACGAGAAGGCAACCAACTCGAAGATTATTCGGGATGTCAAGGCGAAAGGGGATGCGTATTTCCGGTCTGGCGATCTCATGCGCTGGGACGCGGAAGGGAGGTTCTGGTTCGTCGATCGCATTGGCGATACGTTTCGTTGGAAAGCGGAGAATGTGTCTACGGCTGAGGTATCGGAGGCTGTGGGCAAACACGACAGTGTTGCCGAGGCGAATGTATACGGCGTTAGTGTTCCGGGACATGATGGGCGCGCGGGGTGCGCGGCGATTGTGTTTGAGCAGGGGGTTGGTGAGGTGGGGGCGAGGTTGCTTGCGGAGCTGGCGCAGCATGTTAAGAAGGAGTTGCCGGCGTTTGCGGTGCCTGTTTGGATTCGGGTTACCAGGGAGATGCAGTTGACGGGGACTAATAAGCAGCAGAAGGTCGAGTTGCAGAAGGAGGGGATTGATCCGAGGTTTGTTGAGGAGAAGGGGGATACGTTGTATTGGTTGAGGGACGGGACTTATAAGAGGTTTACGATGGAGGACTTGAAGAAGATCGAGGGCGGGAGTGTGAAGTTATGAGGACATTAGAATGGATGTTGTATTGTATAAGATAAGGGTTGGGTAGATGTAATGATAGATGATATCGAGATTGTTCCAAGTTACTTGGCTGCTTTCCCCTTCCGCGTCTTCCGTGGTTTCTTCGCTGTGGGCTCCTTGTAAAGCTCATCTTCTTCCTCTTCCTCAACACTGGCAGTCGCATCTCCATCCTCCTTTTCAGCCAAAGACATGGGCTTACTTGCAGCCTTCCTCTTCTTCCTGCCTGTCCCGCCAGTAGTCGTCTCATGCGCAGCTTCTGCCTCTCCACCTGCAGTCGCCACCCCATCTCCTGTCTCTCCATCCTTCCCCGCCAACCGATTCAACGCAGCACCCAACCTCTTTCCAGCTGCCCCCGTACCCTTCTTCTTCCCACTCGGCCCGCTCTCTGCATTCCTCACTCTCGGCGCAAAAGCGCCAGCCCCGACACCCCCCTCAAAGAACCGAGTAATATTCGCCTGCGTACCCTCCTTCTCCCTTCGATTCATATCCTTGATAACAGGGACAAGCACCTCATCCGTCCTCTCAGGACTCCATCCAATCTGAGAACTCAAGAAAGAACGCAAAGCAGCCAGATCGGGGACGCCCCATTGGAACGGCTCAGGGTCACTGTCGACCTCGGGATGAAGGTAAGCTTCGGCTACACGAGGATCTGGGAACCCTGGCGGTAGGAAGAGTTTGGTAGCCTGGTTCTTGCGGAACCGTTTTCGGAACGGTTTCTTTGCGTGTTCTTCTTTCTTGATAGTCCCACTTTGGACGCCATCCCACCATGTTCGGAAAGACTCTAGGTCTTGGAACTCGGAGAGGATTTCAAGCGCGGTTACGGGCCCGATGCCTGGAATGCCTGTTGTGTAGTCGCTGCCAAGCAATTGGGCAATTGCAATCATCTTCTCCCGTGTGAGGTTGAATTCATTGGTGAGGTCTTGGGCAAGGTAGCATTCGACAAATTTGGCTGCGTTGAACATGTTCTTGTAGACACGCGTACCGCCGAAGAGAAAGGTATCGGAGTCGTCGGTCACGATGCCGTCCACAAGGCCAAGTGTGACCAGTTCGGCGCATTGCGCTTCGGCTTCCATAGGCGCTGTGATGTACGGCAGTCCGAACAAAGTTAACAAGTGCTGGCACTCGGATATCATGGTCTGGGTGACTTCATCCGCATCTCTACGGTCTTTCTTTTGCTGTGCACGGAGCTGTTTGAGCTCGTCATCGAAATTTACCCTGGCTGCAGTGTTGTTGGACAGTTCTTGAGCGAATCGCGCATGCTCTTCTGCTTCTTTCGCTAGAGATGCGAAGAGTTCTTCGTCCTCAGGATCAGAGTACTGATCCGAGTCGTTACCTTCAGGCATGTCTAGAGGTGCGCTGTCATCTGCTACGCCACTGTGAGGGACGATAGGCTTTGTCAGATCGTCTGGACCTTGCAAAGGCGATAGCTCCCTTGGTGGTCGACGTGGTCGTTCCTGGCGAATGGGAACATTTTCAAACACTGGCGATGGTGATTTTGGGGGTGCAGCTGCTGAAACAGGTTCGCCCTGCATAGGCACATCTTCAAACTCTGGAGATGCCGACTTAGTAGGTTCAGTCAAATCGGCTGTCTCTGTTTGCATGGGTACATCCTCAAACTCTTCCGATTCTTCGGACGGAAACCTTGGAGGGTGCACAACGGTTGGCTCTGACTTCCCGCCGGTGGTCGACTTCTGCTGTACATGTCTCTCGTCTTCAGGCTCGCTCTCAGACCAATCCACTGGTTCCTCATCAGAATCATCCGCAAATGGGGTCTTCTTCACCAGACTAGGATCTTGGCGGGGAGGCGACTTCTGCTGCGGAGAAAGCGGTTTAGGGGGCTCCGCCTTGACTTTGTCAGCGAGATCGCCCATCCTCAATTTGGTATCCTCAACTGGAACGTCTTCCATCTGTGCATCGGCCTCGTCGTCTGAGTCGATTGCAATCACTTGGTCCTGATTTTGGCTAGCTGGCGCATCTAAATCAATAACTTCTTTGGTCTCTGGCTTTCGAAGGGTTGGGAGCTGCTGGAACTGGAATCTGGACTTCTCCTCCTGACGTGCTTCTTCCCACTGTTCCTTCTCTTCTTGCCGTTGAGCATTCACTTCCTTTGCAATATCTCTTTGGCCGCTGAACCAAGGTGGAAGTGGCACGGCATCCTTCTTATCTTGCCCATAGTCTCTTTCGAAACCGCCTGCGTTGTCTTCTTCGAGCTTCTCCATTTTCTTCTTGCCTAAAAGAGAGTTGCCTAGGTTGAGTCTTTCGAAAGGGAGCGGCCCGTCAAAACCGGCAGCGTTCTTCGGCTTTAGCGCAGACTTGATAGCGGGTGCTGGTGTTGGGTCCTGTTGTGTAAATGACGATTTCCTTGGCTTAACTGGACGTTTGGACTTGCGAGACTCCGCTAGTGCAGCCTGCAAGTCCATATCCTCTTCACTGTCGCTTCCTTCAAAAGGACCTTTTGGAGCAAGCTTGTTACTGCGTTGATTGGCAAGCCTTGCGATAGCCATTCCAGAACCCTTCGTTCCAGCGAAAGGATTGGCTTCAGCGGCACGCTTCTGTTCGAAAACTTCACGCACTGGATCGTCGTCAGATTCCTCAGCGACAACTTGTTTCTCGGGTTGCATTGACAAGGCAATGGCTTGCTGTAACTGCTCGTTCTCAACATCATCCCCTGCATCATCCACATCGATCGCCCCGTTCATCGGAACGTTCTCCCAGTCTTCCTCTTCTTCGTTGTCATCCGCAAGGAACAACGAGTCTGGATCCTGGTTGACCGGGGTAGCCCTTTGTGGTTTAGACTGTACTGGCTTCTCTCTCCTCGACTTGTAAAGCCTTCTGCGTCGTGTCGCAAGCTCGTTCGCGATGAACTCACGGCCCTCCTTCTCTTGGGCGCTCAAGCTCCCCTTGGGCTTTGGCAGCCTGTTCAGGCCCTCGATTGGGACGTCCTCGAAGTCTTCATCGTCCTCCCATTCTTGTTCTTCTTCAGCAGGGCGCTCTGGTAGGTCCACGTTAATCGGCTTGTGAGCTTTGCCCTCTTCCTTGTTCAGCACAACTCCGAGGGCCCAACCGCCTTCCACTCCGTCGTTCTTGACGAGAACATACTCCCTATCTCTCTCGCCCGCAACGCGATTGAATCCGCCTGCGCCAAATGCATCGTCGTTCATCCCGTTGAGGTTCATCAATCGCTGCGTAAGTTCATTACGTTCGCGCACACGCTCGATTTGGAACTTGGAGAAAGCCATCCTGTCTGGAAACATTGCGTCAAGCTGTTCTTTTGAGTGTCCCATCCTGAGTCGACTTCTTAGCCTGGCTGCGTTCAAGATATTGTACCTATCAGCCGGAGGCAGGCTCTGGAAGAAATGACCATCGAAGTCAATCTTGGAGAAGTCATAGACATTGATATCTTCGCCTCTGTCAAATTGACGTGCGTACTCCTCCAGCTCTTCGAGCGACATGACTCTGGGATCATTCGCAGCCCCCATTTCTGACATGGACTTGCCCAGGTCCGGAAGGTGATATTGGTCCTTCTTCTTGAAGGTGCGATTTTCTGTTCGCTCCTGGGGCGTCTGCAGAAGTTCCTCCGCATAGACCAGATTATCGGGTATCTCTTCCTCCTGTTGCGGTGGCTCCTCTCTTGGATGCTTGGCAGCTTCCTTCCGCCTCTTCTCTTCTTCCTCAGCAGCCCTCTGCATTTGTATAGCCAGCAACTTTCCAGCTGTCCGGACCGCATCTTCTCGTCTACCTTCACGTCGCGACTTGCGGTTGTTGATGGTTTGTCGCTTCAACGCCGGTGCGCCGCCATCGAAGACGAAGACGGGCTTGATGCCGATGAAGAGAAGCTTGCATACTCGGCGAAAGAAACCAACGATATGGCTGTTCCGTAAAGCGTTTCCTTCCTTGTCGCGCACGGCCTTGAGGAACTGGTATATCCAGATGGAGGCATCGACGGCGAGGCGCTTCTTGTTCAGCGTTTCGATCTTGATTGGCCGCGCGCAGGGCTGCAGAACGGTCCAGAGGCCAGTGACACCCATGGCGCTCTTCTGGGGGCGTTGTCCATCTGTTTGGAGGGTTGGAAGTGGTCGTCGAGTTGATTTCTGACAGGCGCAGGCTGCCGTGTGATCGCGCGTTCAGAGCGTGTTCTCTATGACGACATGCCAAGCCTGCCAAACGCGACTATCACGTGCGTAAGCGCTAGCGTTGTCGCGAGAGCATCCGGACATATGCGAGATATTAGTCCTAAGAAAAGATAGAAGAATCATTATGAGGCGAGATGATTCGTAATGCTAGATCATGCCCTCATACACGCTGTCTACGTTCTATGCGGCTTTCGCGGCCCTAAAAGAAGCGGATCATAAGCTAAAAATAAATAATTTTGCCATTAATATTGTTACATTCTAATCTAGGTATAAGGCGAAGGAAGGCAATCTATAAACCCTGCCCCTCGACACCAAGACCCAATCCAACACTTTGCACTTCGTCTCGGTCTTCCTCGTCGTCACCGAAATCTGCTGCCTCGCCATGATCCTCAGCGTCTTTCATACCAGCATCGGTATCGCCAAACATGCCTCCTTTATGCTGCTGTCTGCGCCTTGGTACATCTTGACTTCCCTCGGCATCATCCGAGTCGTCGAAAACCCTACTCTGCTTTCTTCCCGTAGGGACGTCTATAATGTCGCCGCTTGGTCGGAACTCGAACATCGAATTAGGACGATCGTGACTGAATGGCGAATCACGGGGACGGGCTCTGAGGGCTGTAGAGTGTGTAGTGGCTTGAGGAGACATAGCGGACCACCATCCACTCAATCGTTTTCCCAACGATGGACTGTCGGGGGCGTCTGGCTTCTCAGCAGTGTTTGCTAGATCAGCTGGCGCGTTCTTCTTCTTACGCGCGAATGTAAGACCAAGAGGGAGATTCACGGGCGAGCTAGGCCGCGATGGTCCTGCAGTGGAGGAGGACTCTGATTCTGAAGCTGGGTATAGAGCCTCACCGTCAGGGCCATCGCTCCCTGTGCGCTTGAGCAAGCTACGAAGGTCTTCTTCGCTGAGAGTGTTGACAATGTCGTCATCGCGTGCCCCACGAGGTCTGAATCTCCGTCTTCCTTGCTGAATGGCATATTCCAACTTGGCACGATTCGCGATGAACTTCAGCTTGGGGAAAGCTGACTGTTGGCCAACATGTATCATGCGTGCTAGTCGTTCTGGGGTTGGGTCCGTGAGGATATACAAAAAGTCTGAAGGTATGGACTTGGGCCAGATGGTAATGGTCCCACTGAAGCGTTGCAGCCAGAGTTCACTCCAGTCCTGGCCTAGTGGTCGCGGTAGAAGCTCGAGATGGCGAAGCACCTTTAGCCATTTGTTGAGATCGAGCTTGAGATACTGGATCAATTGATTAGCATGCGTATTGAGACTCCGTTGTGTGGTTGACGTACTTGCTCTGTGGCGGAACCAAGGAAACCACCTCTCCATCCGCGTCCACGGCGATGGGTGACAGGTCGACCAACCGAGCCACGGGATGAGAAGAAGAAGATATTGATATGAGGGTTGACCTGGCTGACGATTGAAAATCGGACGTTGAAGTGGAGGTTCAGCGCTTTGAGTGGAATGTCTGTCCGGAGACTTCCATCCTTCCACTTATGTCCAAAAGAATAGGGTGAAAGAGTGCCGTCCTTGTTCTTTTTCATGAGGACCACTGGGTTGAGGATTCCAGGGACGGCAGCAGATGCCAAAACTGCTGACCAGACAACACAGTCCGGAGCCGTGATGTAGTTGGCTAAGATGGTCGGAGAGTGGGGGTCAGAGGGCACGCAGGAGACATTCAGTATACGTCCAGTCCTCTGGTATGCTTCCTTGAACGTCAGACTGCCACGAGTCATCCAAGCGCACTTTTTTGCCCAATCGACACTGTCAAATCTCGCTCCTGTCTTGTACCATCTCTTTGACCATGTAAGAATGCCTTCGTGGCAAGCCGTGATGCGATGAGCCAGAGCAGGTACGAGCAGCTTCTTGAGCTCGTCGTCGGTCCTCGTGCATAGTAGTGCAGCCACGAGAGCTCCACCAGATGTACCAGTGATGACTTCGGGCAGCAATTCGGCGTCCATCAGAGCCTTGGCCACACCGAAGTGGTAGTATGCAAAGGTCGCTCCTCCAGACAGACATAGCGCAGTGCGACCGAAGTTGCTGCCGAGGTGTTTGAACAGGGCGCGCTTGTTCTCTGCGTCGAGCTGTGTGGTTTGCAGGAGGAAAGTGAGCGACGTCTCGGCTTCGTCGACGAATTTCTGGACGAGGTCTTTGGTTCCGTAGTACGTCTCGCTGTACAGTCGGGGGTTCTCGAAGCCGACGAAGTTGTTCTTCATGGAGGCTGAATGCGACGTTAGATGTGTTCTGCGGCGTGGGAAAGACGGGGCGCTTACCTTCTAGGAGCGCACGAAGGTCCTCGACAGCCGTGTGCTGGCCTTGTGAGGCTTTTGATCCTGGTCCGCTCTTCTCTTCTGCTTCGGCCTTTTCCCGCAGTTTGACCATCTGCTGGTGTACTCTTGCAATCGTCTTGCTGTCGTAGTAGGCATAGTCGGCCTTCTCCTTCCACGACTCGTTGCCCAAATATGCGTCGAGCTCCTTTGCGCCCTCAATCCACTCTTCGTAGGATCGCGCATCCTGCAGCCGCTGCCGTAGTCTCTGCCGTGTGCCTCGCCATGTGATCCAGTGCTCGTATAGGTATATGTACAGGCGAGTAAAGACGTAGGCGATGCTGAGGAAGAATAGCCACCCCAGCACGACCAGGAGCAGCGGCCACTTGAGCAGCACATAGACGAAGCCTTCGCGCGTCTCGTCCTTGCCGCGTCGCGGGGGCGCCTTGCTCTTCTTGCGCCGCTTGACGCGCTGGTGGACCGGCCGCCAGTCGTTTTGGGCGGAGATGAAGGTTCGATCGGGCGGCAGAGCCGTGAGGTCTTCGGTGGATGGTGAATTCTCAGGCGCAGCGAGGGCTTTCTCGAATTCGATAAAATGGTCTTCTTCGACGAAGTCGTTCGCGTAGTCTGGCAATAGGGTGAAGTCGAAGCCCGTCGAGGAATATGGCTCGGGGCCATCCGTCTTCTTGTCTACGTCAGCCATGAGGGGGAGAAACGTCGGGTGTAAATCGCATCGTCGAGACGGTTAGGGGAGACGACTCAGGTGATGTCAAATGGGCGAGTTGGCATGTGAGGCTCGAAGCTTCGGGTGCTAGCCAGTACGTCACAGGGCCCAGGCCGCTCGGAACCCTTCCGCCGCTGATGCAGAATTGTGCATCAACACCACGTCTCGCCGACACCAAGCCCTTGCCGACCTGCGAGGCATGCGACCTCGATGCAGAACACTCCAAGCCGTCGTCCGATCGCGAATCCTCCCGCTCCCGCAATGGAGGCCTCGCCGCTGTCTGATGACGCTGGCCATCGAGACTTCTTGCGATGATACCTCGGTCGCCATAGTGGAAAAAGAGACTCGGCACGGCCGGACGACAGCGCAGTTGCACTTCCATAAGAAAGTGACATCGGACAATGCCGTCTATCAGGGCGTTCACCCGCTGGTGTCCCTTCTGTCGCACCAAGAGAACCTGGCCATGCTTCTCCATGAAGCTATGCGCTCTCTGCCGATGCGAGCTGGAGAGATTCCTCCGGAAGATGCGCAAGCAAGCACGGTCGATCTCGCGACACGAAGGCTGCCTGATTTTGTGTCTGTCACTCGTGGGCCAGGCATGCGCAGTAATCTCTTCACCGGTCTTGACACCGCCAAGGGACTCGCTGTAGCATGGCAGGTACTACGCGAGCTTCTCTCTGCGGACTTGCTGCTGATAGCGATGCTAGAAACCTCTCGTCGGAGTTCACCACATGCAGGCTCATGCGCTTACGCCACGTATGGTCAACGCCCTCGAAGCCCACACCGAGCCTGAACACAGCGCCATCTACGATTCGACGTCGATACAAACCGCGCCAAAGTTTCCGTTTCTATCCGTCCTCGCCTCAGGTGGTCATACACTGCTCATACACTCGGCGTCTTTGACGGACCACCGCGTGCTGGGTTCTACAAATGACATTGCTGTGGGAGAGTGCTTGGACAAGATCGCTCGTGTAGTGCTGCCTACAGAGTTACTAGAAACATCAAAGAGCACCATGTATGGAGCGCTCCTCGAGGCATTTTCGTTGCCCGATCGCTCCCACAAGTCAATATCTGGCGACGCATTAACCCATGTAACGAAGCCACCAACTTATTCAGCCAAGACATACTTGGATGCTCATGGACACCTATACGATTGGTACGAAGTTCCGTTGAATCATGAAGACGCCATGCAGAAGAGCGCGACAAAATGGAGCTGGGCACTCAATCGGCCCCTGACTAAATCAGGTGGAGGTGTCAAGATCAACAGTCTTGAGCTGAGCTTTTCAGGTATTACGACAATGGTTGAGCGCATCGTTCGATTTGGTATGGATCCGGTCACAAGAAAATTCAACAAAGTCGAGCGAACGGCGGCAGACGTTAGCCTTGAAGAGCGCATGGACCTTGCACGCGAGACCATGCGCGCAGCTTTTGAGCATGTCGCTTCGCGAGTAGTTCTAGGCTTGCAGACTCAAGAAGATACTCTAGCCGTGCCTGCGGTTGTCATGGCTGGTGGCGTGGCTGCCAACGCGTTTCTCCGGCACATGTAAGTCTGCCTGCAGTAGCGAGAACACATAATTTCGTCGACTGGGATGCTAACGGCTGTAAGACTTGCGAAGACGCTTTGCGCCCATGGTTATCCGGATGTTGAGTTGCATTTTCCACCGCCCAAGTTCTGCACCGACAATGCTGCAATGATAGGTTGGGCTGGTCTTGAGATGTATGAAGCGGGTCACGTCTCCCCACTCAGCATAAGAGCGATACGCAAGTGGCCTCTGGACCAGCTGTTGGATCCCCCGGCGGACGGGTAAAACTTTGACGTTACATACCACGTGTATGCAACACAAATTGTGTGAGCATTTCTCGACACCTCGCCAAAACACAAGAACTCAGCTGTTGCCTGGATTGGCTTCTTCATCAGCCATGCATGCATCTGTCAAGACCGCGTCGGCTACCGGCAGGAAAGTATGGCTGGCTTCAAACAGATGCCACACTGGCTGAAAAACTGCCAAGGACGTTATCAGTACGAGTATCTACAAGACTGATCTCGTCTTGTCTAAACATAGATGATCTGGAGCGTAGATGGACTGCATGGTACCCTGGAGTAAGTCGCTACCAGCTTCCACCTTTCCCAAAGCGAATGTTGAAATCCTCGCATGCCATTTTAGTCTGGACAAGAAAGCGCCAAGCATGTCCGCCTCCAGACCAGGCGAGGACGGTACACAGATAACGTTTTGAATACGTTGGGCGATGTAGAGCCGGATCCGTCTTATATGAAGCTGCAAGGGCATTGCGTTAGCGACCCCGGACTTCTCGGTTGTTCGCATGCATGTCACGATCACATCAAATATCCAGCAATTAGCCAAACAACGTGCACTTTAATTCTGCCGACGGTCCCACGTTTCGCCAAATCAACGTTCTATAGAGTACGATTTATCGCTATATTTAGGCCTTTGCAGGTCATGCCACAGCTGCACCCGACGGCTATCTGGATATATTGCGCTGCGAGATCGAAAGCACGACCTAGAGCCCGGAACCACAACTATCAAGCATCGCTAATGCAATGTCTGGAGTATCGCACACGTGCAAGCGATGTTCCGTACGGCACGATGGTGTCTAGGCTCGTATCTTTCATTTACAGACAGTATCGTCGCTTGTGCGGTCAGGCCGGCCAGAATGGTGAGCCGAGCGAAGTCTATAACTCTGCCGTACATTCGCGAAGATTGAGTTGATGCTGAGATGTCCTTATAACCTGTCAATCAATCCTACGTGAGACTGCTGATTGAACATGGCTCCTGCAAGGAACATTGTGCTGGCACTGCTAGGTCTTGCCATTAGGTAGGTCACGTCTACTGAGCTGGCAAGCTGTCACTAACCTTTTTATAGCATTCGCGCAGCACCTGCTGGCTTACAACATCGCCAGATTGGCGTTCTTCCACCCAAACAGAGTGTCTCTTGGGACACTGGCAACTCAGAACCCACCGAAGAGCCACAAGAGCCCGTTGTCCCATCCAAGCCAACTGATGAGATTAGCCTTGGAACACCATCGGGCTGGATCAGCTGGGAAACCACCGGCCCAGCTCCCACAGATGCTCCAGAAGAACCTGAGTACCCGCCTCCAGCCAAGCCTACTGATCAATTCAGTATTGGTACACCGTCCGGCTGGATCAGCTGGGAGACGAGCGGGCCTGCACCCACACCTGCTCCCCAAGAACCCGACTACCCTCCTCCTTCTAAGCCGACGGATCAGTTTAGCATCGGTAAACCATCCTTCTGGGTGAGCTGGGCCACTGATGGGCCTGAGCCAACTCCTGAACCGGAAGAGCCTGAGGAGCCTGGGTACCCCCCACCTAAGCCTAGCGATCAATTTAGCATCGGGAAACCATCTTACAGTATTACCTGGGACGGAGATGGTCCGGGCGCATCCTCAACGCCTACGCCAGAACCGACACCTACACCGGAACCAACGCCAACGCCAAAGCCAACTTCGAAGTACTCCTCCATCGTATCTCTTCCCCCTATCTGGTCGAACTCCAGTATGACTAGCTCCGCTTCCGTCACTAGTTACAAACCTCCAGCGTCTTCTTCTACCAAATCTGCTTCATCCAGTAAGATTTCATCTACCAAGAAACCCGGCTACCCTCCATGGAACCCATGGCCACCGAAGCCAACGACGATGAAGTCCACTGCAAAGTCCACTATGACGTCTACGAAGAAGCCAACTTCGACACCAAAGCCGTCGACAACTGCTAAGCCAACACCTTCCCCAGCTCCAGTCCCCTCAACCACCAAGAGCGCTATCATCAGCCTCTCTCCGCCGAAGTTCAGCGTGAGCTGGGATTTGAATAAGAGAAACGCAAAGCCAACTTCTACGACTACTAAGAAATCTAAGACAAGTAAGATTACGATGACAAAGACTACCACGAAGAAGAGCACTTCAAAGAGCACGTCGAAGTCTACCTCCAAATCATCATCCAAGTCTTCTTCAACAGCTACAACAACGCCTAAGCCTACATATACACCCAAGCCTACGCCTACACCAACACCAACACCATCTGTCACTCCAAAGCCCACTCCAACACCGACGCCCAGCCCTCCTCCCTCTTCCGCAACCCCTCTTCCGACCTCTACTTCCACCTCCACACGTTCAGCAGACATCACCGTAGGGCCACCCAACTACAGCGTAACCTGGGACTACGACGAGCCCGAACCAACAGCCCCTCCCTCCGAAGAAGAGCCCTACCCCTCCGACCCAGAAGAACCCATCCCGGAGGAACCATTTCCCGAGGAGCCCTTCCCAGAAGACCCAGACTACCCAGAAGACGACTTTCCACTTCCCTCCCAACCAACCCAAGCAAACAGCATTGGTCTGAACCCGCCCACCGTAACCGTAATCTGGGGCAAAAAGCGCCAAGAAGACGATGCTGCACCTACATCTTCACCTGACCTCCCCGCAGACAACGAAGATGACGACGGCCCCGTAGAAATCCCCGCCGACCCCGCGCCCACGCAACCCAACAGCGTGGGCCTCAACCCCCCAACCTACACCGTCATCTGGGGCAAAGAGAAGAAGCGCGCGCCTGAGCCTACTGCCGCCCCTGCCCTCGCTGTAGCAGAGCGAGAAGCCGTGCCAGCGCCGCAGAACAGTATTGGGCTCGAGTTCCCTTGGCAGAGTATCTCGTGGCCGAAGCCTGAGCCGCCGACGTATATCTCGTGGGGGAAGAGGGAGCCTGTTGCGCAGCCTACGGCTGTGCCGAGGGGGATGGAGACGGTTTATGTTAGGGGGAGGGGCTGAGACTACGGTTTGGAAAGAGAAGTATGTTACGGAGTTAGGGAAATAATATGAGAGGAGGTTGATGGATTAGTTAAACAGGTGTGTGTGAAGGTCTGAGTGGGAAATCGGTGGATGTAGCATACGTACCCTCGCTGATGTGTTTTCTCGGTATCCCGAATTCATCTTCTTTCCTCATGACTTCCTTCATCCTTCAGCTCGCTATGGTGCAACTTGATCACTCATTCTTTCTACTCCCATGTTGGATGTACTTCCTTTCGCTCTCAAGACTGGCAAACCCACAGATACACGCCAAAGTCAAGAAGTATCATAGACATTACTTGTTTACGTAAATCAAGGCAGAAGTACCCAAAGCTATTGTACAAAACCCTAATTTCACTGCTTAAACAGGCAAATTGAACCACGGCAATAACTACGACCTGCGCCTAATCGCAGCCAGTTTCATGAAGACTGTGTTAGTGTCTATGCCCCCTGGCTACGCACCTGAAGCTTCTTAGGCTTCTTCTTTGCCTTTGGTTCTTCAGATGTCGTGGATCCATCTGGCTTCTCATCCTTCTGCGCAGGAGCATTCTTCTTATCCGCCGCATCTCCATCTTTCTTAGGTGCCTGTTTAGTCGACTCCGTTTTCTTCAACTCCGGCTTCTTTGGTGTATCCTTCTTTTCCGCCGTGTCGTCCTTCTTAGGTTGTTGCGCTTCTTTAGGCTTTGGTTTCGTGTCATCTGCCTTGTCCTTCTGGTTCAGCTTCTTCGGTGTTTTCTTCGCTTTGCCGGATGCGACGGATGAAGCGAGGTCTTCGCCTTCTTGGACGTCTTCGACCATGAAGTTGGCTGCCATGCAGCGTCCACCGTTCTGCTTGCCCACGTCCATGGGGCAGGCGCTGAACACTATGACTACGTCTCGCTCGGCGCGGAAGCGGACGTGGCAGCGTTTCTTGCCCTTGGGCTCGTCGACGCTGAGTGTCACGCCCTTTGTGCCTGCGCCGTCGCTGTGAGATGTACCTTCAGACTGCAGAGGTGCATTCATGAAGAGATGGAGAGGTGTGGGTGCGATGTTGACGGAGATATCTGCGCCAACTGCTTTTGGGCCTTTCAGTCCTGCCGTCTCGTTGATCTCCTTGAGTGCGAGAACGAGGTTTTCGGCACAGCTACCATGTTCCGCTGGCTTATCAACACCGAGAGCAGCGTATTGGTTCGCATCGCACGCCGCCGTCAGTGTATCGTGTGCACCTGGCGACGTGTCTTCGATGAGAGTGACGATCGGATTGCGTAGGTTGGTCAGAAGTTCGTCGTCGACTTCAGGTACGAGTTTGTGCGAGGCAGCACGCGTGTGGGGAAGAGAGAGGTACTCCATGGGAGGTTGCTCGGAATTCGAAGGATTCGTCGAAGCGTAGGCGGAGTATACAGCGTAAGCTGAGGATGCGTACCCTGAGCCTGTTGCAGCTGCGAGATATCAGTATAGATTCTTACAACACAGTCGCATAAAACCAGACTTACCGGCAATAGTTCCAGCACCCACAGGTGTCTTCGAGAAGTCGTACAGCTGCTCCGCATAGCTCTTGTTCGGATCGCGGTTATGGCTCGACTTGAACGCGCTCACGACGGATTTCGAGTCAGGCACTTCGACATTCGGTACGTAGCTAGAGAAGCTCTTTCCGGTCGGCAAGTATGAAGACCACTTCTTGGTGTTCTCCTCGTTCTGCTTCTTCTCCTGTTCGGGACTAGGTTTCTGCTCTGCTTCCTGCTTGCTCGCTCCACCTTTGCTGCGGTACGGGATAGAAGGGAGGTATGACGCCCATGTGCGCTTGTTGGGCTGCTTTGACGATGAATCTGTGCTTTCGGTCGTCTTCTCGTTGTTGGGTGTATCGGGAGCCTGCTCGGGCGGGTCCTCAGCAGCTTCTTGCTTTGAGTCCTCGGCCTTTTCTTCGGTAGACTGCATCTCTTTACCGTTGTCGTTACCATCTGCCTCCTTCTTCGGCTCCTTCGCTCCGTCATCTTCTCCTTTTGTCGCCTCTGTATCTTTCTCTCCCTCTTCCTCAACAGCCTTCTTCATCTGCTCTGCTTCTTTCTTGAGTTGTTCGTCGTCCAGTTCCTTTCCTTCACCCTCCTCGCCGTCTCCATCGTCAGGCGGAGGCCCCAGACTAAACGCCCACATACTGACTACCTGCTTCCCGTATGTGTTGATGACCTTGATCGTTCGGCCTCTGGGCACAAAAGTTGCGACGCCATGGCGCGCAGGTATCGTTTGTAGTTCACCGGACATATCCTCGGTCGTATTGAACTCGTGCTGGTCTTCTTTGCCTTTCACCTTCTTCTTGCGCTGCTTCTCGACGGCCGACAATACAGAGATGAGCGCAATGCCAGCGAGAGCGCGACGAGAGGGGACTTGAGGCGCCGTGTTGACGGCTTGTATGCGCTAGTAGCGCAAGCAGAGAAACAGGATAGATGGATAGTTGGTAGACGGCCGTTAGTGTATCTGGCTGCCGGACGTTGACTTCAACAACGAGTAGTGAGGTATGGAGCGTCTACCATGTTCACGGATCGGTGACGTACGTGGTGCACATCATCGCGGTTCGCAGCGCGCGATTCGTCCAGAACGTCGGCGGCGAGCATGGAACCCCATGTGCAACGTCCCGCGCGATCACCTTGCTAAGATCGCGGATGACGCAGCGTGGTGGAACCCTGTTTTGAGATGGGAAAAGCAACGGACGGGACGCGGTTGCGGTTGCCCCGAACTCGCTTACAGTTGTAAGGCTCGTCAGTCTTGGGACAGGACCAGGCACCTTGCCTTTGGTATGTCTTTGTGTGATAACCAAGCTGGCAAATGAAGTAAACACGCCAAAATCACCCTCGATATAGCGTAGTGATATGTATGTGTGTTCAGGTGCCTCTCTTCGAGGGTGGTGTTTGTGGCTGCGGCACAGTGCATTAAAGTCACATCATCTAGCGATGTGTATGGCTGTTGCGACATGTAAAATAATGCTGTGTTACAATGAATTCCGGTGGATTCTGCAGGATGCGTTGTACATGAACCCCGCATTGAGAATAGTAAGTCCAACGAACAAATAGATATATTGGGTGAAAGCGAATTTCACGATATCGGCACGAGACGACATGGCCAGCAACAATACCGGAGTATCGTTCGAAAAGTACGTGTCTGGTTTCTCTTGCATAGAGTTACAGACAACTCACAGATCACAAATAGGTTCATCCAATCGAAGCTGTTCACCTTTGTTATTGGCAAAGAGAAGAGAGAATTCAAGATACACGCTGAGGCCATAACGTCAATATCGCAGCCACTCTGCAAACTCATCGAGAATGGCATGCTTGAGTCTGTTCAAGAGAAGGTTACCTGGGAAGATGTAGAGGTCGCTGACTTTGCGCGTTTTGCCGAGTACGCCTATCGCTACGACTATACTTCGCCGTCATGGGTACTGGACGACAGCGTAGCTACATCAGACGTTATGAGCAGAAGGAATGCGAAGGCACTGGCAGCACTTGAGCCGTTAAGAACTAAGTCTACCGGGCCTCAAGCATCTGTTCAGCAAAGGATGGTGCAGACAATGCCCCAATTCGGCCAGTCGTCGGGGCCGCCACCACAGACTCTACAATCCAGACTCCTCAACAGGGCTTATCTCAATGGCGCCGAGCCAGCAGCCGGTATGCTATCCGGCTTCCAGCATCAGTCGAACGTGGGAGTCAGGCAAAACTTTGCACCAGTTTTACTTGCTCACGCCTGGCTGTACACATTTGCATGTCTGCGTTGGATTGAACCTCTGAAACGTCTTGCCCTACACAAACTCCACCAGACCCTACTGGACTTTACGCCATATCCTGAACGCTTGGTCGATGTGGTCGAGCTCGTCAGATACGCATACGATAATGGTGAGGACAGGAAGGATAATGGAACGGTCGAGGAACTAAGGGCTTTGGTAACAGAATACGTTGCGAGCCAAGTCTCTGTTTTCAAGAAAGATAAGCACTTCGTACAATTGTTGGAAGAAGGCCAGGAATTTGCGGTTGATCTTGTGAGGGCGGTCGACGGGGACATGCTGAGATAAGTGCACAATCATACGACAGTGATCGAATGCCTGATGGCCTTGCGCGTCTTGAGAGTGTCGATTGGAATCTCTCTTATAGCCTGTATGCTAGCATATCGTGTGGTTCCTCCCAGAGGAGCGTGCCACATTGTGGCGTTTAACGGCAGCAACAGCAGTCGTTCCACCGGTGCAGTAGAACTCCGATGCTACTTTGGTGTATAATATCCCTTGTCCTTCCCAGGTTTCGTTCAGGGTGCCGTCATGACAAAAGCTGTCATAGCTTTCACCGCGTTACCATCATGAGCGCGCAAGAGCTCCGTGGCCTTTGGCTTCGTAAGTTCAAGTTCGGAGACCTATTCGTCCAACTGTCAGTCTATTCCCAGTGATTCCAACATGTCTGCGCATCACTCTCTGTGCGCATCTATTCCAAGGTGAACGTACCAGCAGGTTAACATCGGCTGCCTCGATCTTGACATTCTTCTTCTCGCCTTCCTTCTTGTCCTTCACATTCAGCCCCTTCATCGCCTTGTCTAGTGCCTTGCCATCGACTTCTTTCTTCGGCCCATTCTCGCCTTCTTGGGGCGCGTCGAGGGTGGAGAGGGCGGCGGCGGCTTTGCGGTCATCGGCTGTGCCTGTGGGTGCGTGCGGGTCGGCGGCGCCTTCTTGGACGGTGGAGGGCTGGGGCTCGGCCATTGTGGATGTCGCGAGTAAATTGATGTGGCTTTGAAAGCTGACAGAGCGCAGAGGGGATATAGAGGGCTTGTATAGGCGATGGAAGATGGAGAGACAATGACGACAGTGGATTGGAGAGCTGAGGGTTGTGGGGTAGCTAAGGATTGTGGAAATGTGGCCAATGGGAAAAGAGAGTGGCCGCCATTGGTTGAATTTCTCGAGTTATGCACGCTTTCAATTCCTACATTCTGGCACAAAACCTCGCATCAGACAGGAACATAGATCTTACACGAACAGGCCAACACAGAAGCGGCGATATACTCGCTGCACACCGATTAGCATATCCAGGGTAAGTTTGCTGTGATACGTCATGAAGTATTGCGCACGCAGTCCGCTTTTCGTTGCAGATTTTGTACCTTGAGTCATGTGTTTGCGTCCTTTGGTCACGTCTCCTTGCAGGCGAACCCTTGCCGAACTGCCATATTAACAAGTGACTCAAAGGTGATCTTCCGTGTCGCAACTAGACAGCCCTGAACTAGTCAAGAAGTGTACCTAGGCACATCAACTGAAAGAGAACACACTATGGACAACGAAGGGCACGCAAAATTAACCGACTACGTTTCCCAGTTCATGGCAGCAACCAGTGGCCAAACACAATCACAACCAACTTCGTCGACGATGAACGCAAACTCAACACAACTGCCGGAAAGGCCCAAGCAAGAAGCTGAGACAGATGCCGGCTCTCAAGAATGGTCGCCAGCTTGTAAGAGGGACCATGAACGCTCATGCTGCCGTACTAACAATTACAGCCTGGAGGTCAAAGCCCATCAAGCAAGTCGTCACATATGAAGATCAAGCAGCAGTATCCTCTGCGCTGACCAAGCTATCGAGTCTACCGCCAATCGTTACACCAACAGAGATCGCGCGACTCAAGGCCAGTCTCCGCGATGCTGCACTTGGAAAGTCGTTCCTGTTGCAAGGAGGTGACTGCGCCGAGTTGTTCTCCTACTGCGCGGACAACCCAATCGATGCAAAGATCAAGCTTCTGCTGCAAATGAGTTTGGTTTTGATTTGGGGTTCAAACAAGCCCGTCATTCGCATTGGCCGTATAGCCGGACAGTATGCTAAGCCCAGATCAAGCCCGACGGAGATGCTGAACGGCAAGGAAGTCCCTAGCTTCCGTGGCGATATCCTCAATGGATACGATCCTGACGCTCGAAGAGTTGACCCTGAGAGGCTGGTCAGCGCCTACTTCCATTCCGCGACGACACTGAACTATATCCGTGGACAGCTAGCTAGTGGTATTGCTGATCTGCACAACCCTCTGGACTGGGAACTGGGTCACGTTCGGGACGAGGAACTACAAACCAAGTACTCGAAAATCGTCCACAGCATCTCCGACTCGTTGCGCTTCATGAAGACTATCGGTGCGGACACGTCAGGTCAGCTGCAGACAGTAGACCTGTTCACCAGCCACGAAGGTCTCGTTTTGGAGTACGAGCAGAGCTTGACAAGGAGACTCAAGCACCCTTCAGGCTACAAGCCTTCTCAGGCCTCAAATGACGGTAAGGGCTGGTACAATACCTCTGCTCACTTCATCTGGATCGGAGACCGAACTCGTCAAATCGACGGAGGCCACGTTGAGTACTTCCGCGGTATCGAGAACCCTATTGGTATCAAGGTTGGGCCTTCCATGAAGAACGACGAGCTGGTAGAGCTACTCGACATTGTCAACCCGAACAAGGAGATTGGCAAGATTACATTGATCACGCGATATGGCGCGGACAAGGTTGAGTCGATGCTTGGAGCGCACATCGAAGCTGTCAAGAGCAGTGGACACGTTGTAGTGTGGCAGTGCGATCCCATGCACGGGTAAGTCGTCTTGGTATGCAATCTTTCATCCACTAACGTCTCGATAGCAACACGCGCAGCACGCCTACCGGCATCAAGACCCGCTCTTTCAACAGCATCTTCTCTGAGCTCTCATCAGCGCTCAAGATCCACAAGCAGCACGGGTCTTTCCTCGGTGGCATGCATCTGGAACTCACCGGCGATGCAGTTACGGAATGCACTGGCGGAAGTGAAGGACTTGTGGACGAGGATCTAAGCCTGAACTATACCACATACTGCGATCCCAGGTTGAACGAGAAGCAGGCGTTGGAGTTGGCATTCCTGGTCGCAGGACACTACCGTGCCGACGAAAAGCTCCTATAGGCCAGAATAGTCCTTGGTAGATTAAGAATGTCACGATGTGTTTGAAAACATAATTACGATTCGTTGCAGCCTTCGCAAGCATCGCCCAAAGTAGTAAACCCTTTTCATGACGCGGGAGATCTCCACTACATCATCAGAGTGGTCCAAGCTTCACAAAGTCCCATACGTGCATCTTATCTGCCCCCCCCGTTATCACCACGCATCTCAACATTCTGCAACTACCCCACACTCGACGTATTGCCAACAGAGATAATGGGCTCTTCGGCTTCCAAAGGCGCAAAGGCGGCGGGCTCTGCTGCTCGTAAATACCCTACCAGAGCCCCTACGAATACTACAACACGGGCTCCCGCGCCTTCCGCACCCGCACAGGATCCTGTAAAGGGACCGACTGTTCGTCCCGAGGTGCAGGCTTCTGGAGAAAAGACCGAGGGTATGTATTTACACGCTGTCAGCACATGGGGACACGACACTGATTTTTAGTTTAGCTGTTTTACAAGATGCCCGCGACCCTGCCTTTGCATCTCGCCTCAGCAGTCTGGGTGCTGTTCAACCGAACCCTCATTTCTCGCCTTCGTCTGCCTCGCAATTCGACCCTCGCCGCAATACCTCGCCGAATCTTCCCTCCGATACGATGATGCAATCGCCACCGCAGTCTGCGTTCCCCGACCCGCGCAATAACCCCGTACTACGGGTACTGGAGGCGAGACAACGGATAGCAGACCAGGCGGAAGATGAGTTGCGAGACGTTGGTAGGAGAGGGTTCCAGGGAAGAACGTATGTGGATGCTGGTGTCATAACGTTGGCGATGATGAGACGAAGCAAGGGAGAGCCCGATGCGAGGATTGAAGACGCATTGGGAATCAAGAGGGGGAGACTGAGTGTGCTGGGCAAGGGCACGGTGGAAGCCGTAGCCTTGGGTTGATCGGGCGATATCAAAGACGTCACGACACACGACATATCTGAGGAAGGCGAATTGAGCGGCACCGAACGGCCAGTCGAGATCGAATTCGACCTGCAAAAGAGCGTACATATGTACATACGAAACGAGAACGAAAGAAGACTGTCAACACCAAGCTCAACCCTCCCAACCGATGCAATGCGTTACCAAGTCGTTACCCAAACGCCAAACCAACACCGGAACAAATGCAGGAAACTACCAATTTTGTGCGCCATCATGATTCGTCGTGGTCGGCGTTCTCGTGGATGAAGTTGTTCATGGCCATCAGCGCCTCTTTCAGACACTCTTGGTCAACCTCGAGGCCGTCGCGCAACATTTCGTCGTAGCCGATGCGGACGACACCGCCGGTGCCCATACGCGCCCGCTTCTGGTTCCATCTCCGAGCGACTTCCCATCGCTTACGGGTTTGTGTGAAGGGCGGGCATGAATCGGCAATCTCCCTGCTTTCGCGCAGGACCGTGAGGGCGTTGAGGACATTGAGGAATATGCTACGCGCGACAGTCAGTCTCTATCTCGATACAACGCAAACAGTTTTCCTTCGTCAACGTACCCTTGAGTAAGCTCTAGGTCATGATCCCATCCATACGCCACGGTACTGAAGCTGTTCCCCTGTGCCACGATATCCAAGAATATGAACAGCGACTCTTCCACACTTATGTCGGTAGTAATCGTTGATGCGACGTTTGCGAGGATCCAGTCCGAGAGTTCGAAGAAAGTCTTCTGGTCCATGTGCGCGAAGCCGACGAAGCGCTCCGGCACGGTGAACATGAGCGACATGGCACGTCGCGCACCCATGGCCTCTATGCAATCCATTTGGCCGGGGAGATGTGAAGTGCGTCGAGAAAGACCGAGACGTGTGGTTGAAAGTGGATGTGGTGATGTGCCGGCAGCGTGCCCAGATGGTTGGTTGGTTGGTGGGTGGGTGGTGGAAAGCGGAGTCGGGAAGACGTCAGGTGAGAAATGAGGAGTAAGGCTGAGAATGGATGATGAACAGATCCAGCTGCATGCAACACTGCGGATACCGGCAAGAAAGAATACCCAGTTCCAACAACACAAACCCCCTTGGTTACTGCAGTTAATTATTCCGCGGAACAATTCAGACAAAAAGTGACGAGCGAGTCTAGACACGCCTCAGGAGGACGGACAGACAAGCAAGGTGAGGTTTGGCAGAATGACTTGCTACTACCCACGTTTGCTCCAAGCTTTTGTTACGCAGGCCAGCTGAAGGGCAAGTGAAGCGCGCCATCATTTGCGCCAGTTGGACAGTGGGGCCGTTGTCCGTGTTGCAGCACCTACCTGGGTCCTGCTGATGCGTGAAGCGTCGTCTGACATGTGAAAGTGGGTGCACGCTCCAGCCGCGTACAATGACATCAGCATCCAATCACACGGGGTGGATCCAGACCTCGTTGCGGCATGCGCGACGCCGGAGATGAACGTCTCCGTGGGCTTTTGTTCCGCCGTCTTGCTTCTTCCACATGGACAGGAGTGTTCATCTTCTTTCTATTATGCGTCTCACGCAGCAGAAGAACGCGCGCCGAACTACACACCACGCACACCACAGCTTGAACCCGCGGCGTGGGCGCGAAGGTTGGCCGAGCGTGTGGCTAGTGCAGCAACGAGTGGGTGGAGCACCGGTTGCGGAGCAAAGAGGCTAAATGTAGCAGGTGCGTTCCCTTTCTGGTGCCAAGCTTGGCGTCTGTGTCTCGGGTATTTTCGTGCTTCCCATGTTCGGCTTCAGATGCGCATCGGAGCTAAGGGGTGGGTGGGTAAAAAAGAAAGACGTTTTGTTGACGTAGGTATTGTTCTTTGTGTTCAACGACGGAGATGTATGTGCGTGGCGCTACTTGTGGATGGAGATTCACGGGCTGGGCTAGGCTGTGTGTGAAGACGCGTCTTGCGATGTATCAGGTTCAAGACATTGCCCAGCCCTGAAGATGGATGGTGGAGCTTCCACGTGATGTTCATTTATGTCTTTACCCGCCTCTTCTTCGCACTGGGCTTAATCAGGTGCGACACCACACACACACACACACACACACACACACACACACACACGTTTCCAATCACAGCATCTCCGCTGCATACCAAGTCTTACAAGATCCATCTCACCCATGACATCTCGCCGTTTCCACGCGTTCCTGTCGCATCTCGCCCATCTCAACTACTAGCCAGGCCTTCCCCGCCCCACTCTAAACCTTAAACGCATCGGCTGTCTACAGACATACCTGTAGCACATCTCGTGCGTGGGTGCAGCGATCCGCACCGGAAGAGGCGCACGCACAGCATGGGGCGTTTGGTAAACCTAGTATGCTGAATGCCAAATTACCATACTCCTAGACAGGAGGAGTTGCGCACAGTTGCAATCGCAATCTCAACAGTTGTGCAGGCAGGCACATATCCATCGTAGAAATATCGATCAAAACCAACGTTTTTGCTTGTTCCCGCTGAGCTTACCTTCCCTGTGCGCACAAATCCCACGTCTGGATGACACCTCCATTCTCCGCTGCTTATTCCCCCTCTTCCCGCTACCTAAGCGTTCGATTCGATAGTCTCGGTCTCGAACGAATGTCGTTTGCTTTTCCCCGCTGTTGCAGATCGCTGGGTGTGGTTGCACACTAGAATCTAGATGGGTAAGCATGCCGCCGGTACTGGCTTGCAGCTTTGCGCGGGTCGCGTCCCCGGAGATTGGTGCGGCCGTTGGGTTGGGCTGGCAGCTCTGGATCAGGGCAGCGGTTTGGTACGGGGTGGAAGAGGGGGTGGCTTTGGTGTTGCGGGGATGCACGAGTCTGTTGTGATGCTGGAAGTTTGCGTCGAAGCTGCTTGCGCAGTGGCGAGGGTGGCTAAGTAGGTTATACAACTTCCATCGTTGAGGGTGCCAGCACGTCTTGCGCATTGGGATTGTCAAATTCACAGGCACGCACAAGTCTTCTGTGGTAATGTTTTGCTTGGAGCAATGTAGAATGGGGTATTAAACACAAAAATGAACACCAAACAGACATTCCACTCATCCTTCTACCAATGTGCAATCCCAGCTACTGGCGTAGAGGTCTCACTCATCATCGCTGTTAGCAATAACGGGTCGTTTTCTCTTCCTGCCAGCACCTGGTCGTGCACCACCCATCTTCGACTTCTTCTGCTTGACCGCCTGCTTAACCGCCTGCTTGACCGCAACCACCGGCGCCACATCCGACCCCCTCCTACGTGGTCGACCAGGCCCACGACGAGACCTCGTAGATCGACCGGGCGGTTCATCGTCCTCATAGGCCGGCTCAGCCACATCCTGTTCTTCGTCTTCCTGGGTATCCGGCAAGATGAACTCGTCGTCTTCCGCCTCCGTGTCCTGGACGTACAGACTAGTCTGAGTGCTCTGCGACTCGATGACGGGAGGAATTTCGGGGATTTCGGGGTCGCTTGCCTCTACATCCATACCCGTATCTGAACCTGTGGACTCGTTCCTATTGAGCCCTCCGCGCTTGGACTTTCGCACTGCTTTGCGTCCGGGTTTGCTCGTAGCTGCCTTTCGTGCTTGAAGTGTCCCAGACCGCCTTCTTGTAGCCGGCTCAACACCGCCGTCTTGCAGCATGGCCTCTTTCCGCTTCGCAGCTTTTGCCTCTCTGGCTTTTGCTGTGGCGGCAAGGATGCGTGAGCGGTCCTCGATGGGCTGGCTCAGACTGGTGAGTGACTCCCTTTTCTTCGTCTTTTGCTTGGTTTGTTTGACCGCGACGATCTTGGCATTAGGCTGTTTGAATTGCTCTGTTTTCTCCTTGGGATAGTTGTAGTTGAAGAACAGTTCGGTGCCTGCCTTGATGTCTCTAGTGGCGAAGAGCGCGATGCGAAAGACTGTGTTGCACAGCAAGTTCTTGGGGCCGCAGTTTGTGTACTTGTCGTCGGCATTGTTGATGAAGCGTAGTTTATTACCCATGTATGTCGCATCAACTTCCTGCTCTACATGTTGGTGTTAGCAATCTGATCCGCATAACAGCAATATGGAAACTCACTCGAGTTCAGACGAAACAGATACATCGTCTTCTGGTAGTCGTATATCGTCACTCGGCGATCGCCTTCCTTAACCGAGATGGCCTCGCCAGTATATTCCCCAATATACTCGCCACTCTTGATGTCCTCGCCCATGTAGAGTCCAAAGCCATGCACTTCTGAATGACCGAGCAATGTTTTCCGAGGAACACCCCTCTGTATCGCAACATTACAGCAGGTGCGTTGAACCACTTCATCGTTATAACGATTCACCGGGTCAAGGACTTCAGATGCTCCGCAAGAGCCACAAAGGTCTGCATCGCACTCTCGGTTGAACTTGACGCAGAGACATGTCTGTGTAAGACACACGCGCTTCCCTGACGCTGTTGCACAACTGCAACCAGGATAACGTCGATTGCAAGAGTGAGGGCACTTGCATGTTTTCTCACAATTAATGCCTTCTCTGAAGCACCGGCATTTCGCGTTCTCGCAGCTGCCTTCGTGCTTGCATGGGAAAAAAGGCTTCCTCTTCTCCCAATGTTGCGTTGTATCCTGGTTCAGCCACCAAGTGCTATTAAACTTACCAGGTGGCGGTTTTGCACCTTTGGGAGTAATCATCTCCGTCTCTGAACAAGACTCGAAAGCGCTTGGGTTTGCAGGAAGCTTATAGTTTATGACCTTCTCAATGTCGGAGTCGGAGTCAAAATGTGCGGGCAAGGGGTCGCCGGGTTCGTTCTCATCGTCGGTGTCGTCTCTGCTAAAGTTCGACACACGGCGCGGAGTTTTGTTGTTGGAGCCTCGACGACTGGTATCATCAGTCGCCTGTGTAGCGCATTCTTCGTCTTCCGAGTCCGTCTTCCAGGAATCCTCGGGTACTTGTCTGATCTCGCCATGAAGAAGGCAATCGTGTCTGTCAAGAATGTTAGGATTTCGTCATCAAAATCCACGCGTTGGTACTTACTGATGGCACACTCTGCACATGATCTTTTTGTACGTTGAGTGCTTGGAAGACTGCTGATGTGCAGACTTCTTCTGTATGAGACTCTGTACAGCTTTGGACTGTTGAGCTAAGTACCAGATGCTGAATTCACATTCTTTGAATACCGCTGCAGAAGCTGTTGCCGCAAGTCTCAGAGCACTCGGGATCGGCTCTTCAAGCTGTGCGACAAACTCTTCCCACTTTTTGTTGTTCCTGTCAAACAGAATAGCCTTCTTCGGCTCACCGTCTCTCTCAAACTCCTCAATGTGATATCGTGATCTTTCGAGGAGCTGTGCTTCAAACTGCTTGCTTCCATTCAAAGAGTCGTTGATTTGTATAATGTCTTGATCCGGGGCTAGTAACCAAAACAGGATATCGTTCCACGTGATGCCTATCTCAGACAGGAATGCTTCGATGGCTTTATCGTAGAACCGGCACTGTTCCTTGCGGAAGTCTAGCGGCCCCTTCTCGTCATGCGTCATCTCGTACATGTAAGGAAGCGTATCCAGCAGAACCTCGCGACCACGATAGTCTTCGTCCTGGAAATAGGGTGTTGCGAGTAATTTTGACTCATTGTCTTTAAGAACGTTGTTCCTCAGACTGACATACTCTTTGAAAGGAGGAATCTTTGGCGCATCGCTCTTGTACTTTGTAGTGGGTACGGCTAGGCTTGACTTGACCACTGTGTCCTTGGGTTTGGCCTTGATGAATGTTTCCTGACTCATATCCACGAGGCGCTTGGTGTTGGCCCTGTCGAACGGCACTTGTATAGCACGCATGTTCTCAAAGGGGGAAGTCTTCTGGATGTACTTTTCGGGTAGGATGGGCTGTTGTGGACGCTTCTGCTTACTGGACCAGGCGCGTAGGTCTTGTTCTTGAAATGTTCTCTGATTCCGCATCTTCGTCTCCACCAGGTATGCATGTAATTCATGTCGTTCTGCCACATGACGTTTCAAACACGCTTCTACAGCTGAGCGTGTAGTGACGAGCACATCCGCTTGCAGTGAGAGCTTCTTGCTTGTCCTACCACCATCGTTCTCGACAGGCACCCGAAGGTGTTCGGGTTGGATGGTTGGATGAGTACTGACGATTGTTGCCGGAGCTGGTACATCTGGAATCATAATTTCGGGGACTGGCAATGGCGCCTCAGAGGGCCGGATCGGCTCTGCTGATGCCTCGACAGGGCGCAGGGCAGTAGGGGTAGCAGAACGGGACAGTAAAGGTGTCGAGCTAATAGCACGCCCCGGTGCAGGTTCGCCTGCCTCATCGTGAGGTGGCGGTGGCGGCGATTGTGTCGGCGTTGTGCTGCGTTCCACAGGACTGGCATCCCTGACGGATTCTTCCTCCGTCTGCGCAGGCGCGCTATCAGCAATGATACTAGTATCTATCGTTGGAGTTTTGCTTTGGCTACGACATGTTACCACAGGCGACCCGGACCTCGACTTACTCGAGCCCAGGTCGAGAGGCTTGTAAAATAGTTTTGCTATGTCCGGGTGATCAGCCGCAAACTGACGCGGTGGTCTGACAGGCAGCTGTGGAGGACCCGAGGTCACATCATCTCTTCGTCTCACTGACTTGATGGCTTTCTGTTTCTGCGGCAGTCTTTGTATGGCTGAAAGGTTTGGCTCAGGCGACTTATTAGGCAAGGGGATAGTCATGCTGCCGCTATCATCGTCCGGTGTTGCGTCGTCCGACTCGGGAACTACATCTCTGCGACTGGCAGGGGCTTGTTCTTGTGGGTTCTCAGAGACATCACTGGCCGGCTGCGCCGATGGGTCTACGGTATGGTCCAAGACGGGTGCGGTATGGTCAGTTGAGGCTCCGAGGGCCGATGTCGCATGGTACGTAGGTTGAGGGGAAATATCCTCATCTATCAGTATCGCTTGAGTGGTAACACTCGGTTCTGTCCTTGGTGTTGATGCGGCTGACGGCGAGCGGTTCAGCGGCGTGACCTTGGGGACTTCCGCACTTGGTCCCGCTCCTTGTGTGACTGATGATCGAGGCAGGTAGCGTGGTTGATAGACTGGGTTTGCTGAAGATTCCCTGGAAAGCTCCGCACTTGGTTCTGTCACTTGCACCACTGATGAGCCGGGCACAAAGTGTGAGTGATAAGTCGGCGTTGTCGAGGGCTCTGAAAGCCCCGTGAATGGCCCCGCTGTTCGTGCAACCGATGATCGAGGCGGATGATGTGAGTTATACGTCGGTGTTGCTAGAGATTCCATGGGGAGAGAAAATATCCGACTCGTTCTCTTAGGAGACTCAGCAGGCTTAGCTCGCTCAGGAAGCACAGCTTCGTGACGCGTAGTAGGCAAAGGATCAAAACCCTGTGGTCCCTGAATTGGGCGCTGATTTACTCTAGTGCTTGCGCCTGATTGTGTTGCTTGTCCGGATACTGGCGGTTCGTCTTCATCGATTGAAAGATCAACAATCTCAACAGACTTCGTGGATGACGACGTCCGGTCGCGCGGTTTGTTTGTGAGATTGCTGTCCTTCGTAATACTATCTCCTCCAGACGTATCACTGCTCATGTTTTTCCCGTGTCTTTGTTTCGTTTGTCTCCGTGCGGCGACCTCCTTCCATGCAGCTGCAGCTTGCTGCGCGTCGGAGATCTCCTCAAGCCCATCTTGGTCAAGCGTTTGGCGATGGCGCCGTCGCACTGTAGGCGCAGGTACATAACTAGGCGGGTCGTCATCCAGAGTGAAGGGAGCATCCAGAGACCCGTCAGGTTTCATTGTTGATAACGCTGATGCGGGCTTGCCGGCGCCAGTCGACAAATTTGCGCTGTTTCAATAAGGTCATGGGAGGCGGGTCCAGATAGAGATGGCAGAAACCGTGGTCATCTGTGGTAGATATCAAGCGGCGTCGAGTGAGTGAGATTGTGGATCGTGTTGTGCCGACTGTGAGGCTTGATAGGCAGGTTGTGCCCGTCGCGCTAAATCTACGGCAACGCGTCGGCACGTGGCTTGTATTACCCCTGCATTTACTTAAGAGGCAGCGGCGACTATTCAGCCCCACTCGACGCGACCTCCCAGGTAGAATTGTCAACACAAGAGGTCAAGGCTCAACGCTCTGTACAGTGGGAGAACAACGCGGGGTGTGCGACAGTAATTATAATGCATTAGCGAGGGGCTTCCCCTCCTGGCCTCAGCCCAGCTCGTCAACAAACGACAACATCGTCGGTACATGATCTATCACAAAACAACCCAATCTGCCCTTGGACATCCGACATTGAGCGGGCTCCCGACGCCCCTTCCAAGAAACCGACATACACACAACTAGCCTTGCGCAGTGCAACATGATTATGTCCAACCGAGTACGTAATAACTACAGCGGCGAGCGATATAGAAACGCCATCCCTAATGAAAATGCCCGTTTGCGAGTGTATGAACTGCCCTTTGAGCTTCTTACAGTCGCAGTCTACCATTGACCCATCATCATGTCTTGATCCTAGCCAAGAAAGTTTTGCTGCTGTTGCTGTCCAGGCCGTGGAAAGACACTCGTTGTAGGTACCTGATCCAGGCTCATTCCGCCCATCGTCCCTTGGCTACCTGTATTCTGCCAACCCTGGCCCGTTTGCTGGTTGACAAAAGCGCTCTGCCGGAAAGGATTGGTACTGCCTGTAGCGTTCACTGTCAGGCCACCCTGTGGGGATGCGGCACTCTGCGGCGAGGGCTGCCGTGCAAATGGATTTGTGCCGGTTGGAGTCGGCTGTAAAGGCTGCTGCTGCATAGGAGCAAATGGTGATTCTTGAATGGGTGACATTGAGTAAGGTGGTGAATTGATGGGTGATTGCGACTGCGAGAAACCGGTACTTTGTTTTGCGAATGGGTTCGTGGATGACCGATTGAGCGATCCAGTGCTGGTAGGGCTAGTGAGCATCTTGGGTTCGGCACTGGGCAGCATTGACTGTCGGAATGGGTTTGTTGACGTTTGTTGTGGTTGTAGGGGTTCGGCAATTGTGGGAATCTGCATTTGCTGCTGTTGTGAATAATCAGGCATGCCATTCTGTGGTATTGAAGGCATGGTATTCTGTACACCGAACGGTTGAGGCGAATAGCCTCCAAAGCCTGCGCCTGTGAATTGTGACTGGAGCTGGGGTGCCTGCATCTGCGGCGCCTGTGGCTGCTGCATCTGGAATGGGTTGGTGCTCTGGCCATTCTGCATAGCAAAGGGCTGTTGCTGCTGTTGAGGAAAGCCCGTCTGTTGTGGAACCTGGAAGCCTGTTTGTTGGGGATACTGCTGCATCATGGGCTGCGTGGCCATGGTCTGTTGGTTGTCCTCGAGTGATGCAAAGAGGTCAATCAAGGGTGCGCTGGAGGAGGGTTTCGAGGCTGCTGCTGGCTGTTGACTGCTCGTATTGTTTGAGGGTACATTCGACGTGGAAGGCTTCGTATCCAAGGGTTTGCTAGCGCCATTGGTAGGCTTGCCCCCGTTCTTCTTCGCCTCCTTCTCGGCGATGTACTGTCGTCGGTTGATCTCGAAGTCCTTATCGTTGAGATATTCTTCCAGGGATGCTGCCAGACTGGTCGGAGCATGCTTGATCTTGGGGATTTCCAGTCTTGTCGAGTGTTCGTGTGCTCTTGCAAGACTAAGGTATTGGACGACAGCTTCCGTCTGCTTGACGAATGTGCGGTATACTGCCAGCGCGCGCGTTGCGTCTGGCTTTGACAGCTCGAAATAGTGCTCTACTTTATCAATACCCTATAAACCAAGAAGACATGTTGGACTCACCGAGTATGTTGATAGTGCCCTCGTTCATAACATGGAAGAGTACCAGCAAATCCATCGTGAGCAATCGGAACGCTGTCATGGTAATCTCGTTTTCTGGTTCGTCGTCGAAGGGCTGGCACTTGAGCAGTGATCTGATCTGGTCCTGCACACTCTCGGCTTCACGAAGAAGGCCTTTTTCCACAGTCAGCCGCTTAAGCCGCCCCTCGCCGCCGCGCACGTAGTCGACTTTGGTGGCGCCATATTCGATCGCACGTCGCAGCAGGTATTCGGAGTAGGTCCGGATATTGTGGCCCTGGGTCTGTACTATTGCACGCAATGTTAGCGCCTGGTGTATGCCTTCTGTTGCAGTCCAAATGCCATCCGTCTCAAGATACAGGGCATTGGGCGACGCGGTTGCTGCCCAATTCGTGCCCGTGTTGTAGCCACATCACCCTGGCTGGGCGGCCCGGAAGTGAATCTCAAGACGTACCCTCTGTAAAATGGTTGATGGCCAGCTTTCTGTGTGGGTTCTGCGCCAGGTATTTGAGCGTGACCTCGGGCTCGCCCTCTCTTATCATGAGATGTACGATGATTAAGCTCTTGAATACGATGGTCCATGTCGAGTCGCGTAGTCGATTCGTGAGGGCGCGGAAGATCTCAGCAACACCTGCCTCGCCGGCATGCGTCGCGACGAGGATGTGCTCGACATACTTGGATTTGGGCGCTGCGAGCTGTATCGTGTGTTAGTCCAGCGTGATGGCGCATGGGGAGCAGCCGGAAGGAGCGAGGGCGCATAGCTACCTTGATCTTGGTGCCGCCCTTGACACTCTTCTCGAAGGAGCTGGCCATGACTTCACAGGTGGCTGCCCGGTTGGGCCGCGGGCTCGGTGGTGCCGTGTAGCCGTCGTGCTGGCGGTGGGTGCGGGTGTCGTGGCCGGGTGTCGCAATGGCTCGGGCGGTGCTAGGAGAGCATTACGGCGCGGTGGAAGGATAGGAGTCGTCGCGTTATCAATAGAGGAGAGGGTGGCCCGTAGATTGCAATCCGAGGAGCATGTCCGTTATTGGAGTGGACCGGGGTAGGAGGAGTGAAGCAGGGCGCATGGTGGAGCTTGCGCTTGCGTCGGGCTTGCTGCGAACGATGGATCGGCGGAGGAGCGTCATTGTGTCCCGCCCACGCTCCCCTCCCAAACACTGAAACTTTTCCCACCACGCCGCCAAACACGCCGCCATGTCTGCCTCACCCCCACCCGAAGAGCGCGAGAAGGCCGACGCCGACGCCCGCGCAAAGGAGCAGGCCGAGCAGGCCGCCCTGCCCTACAAGTGGGACCAGACCATCAAGGACCTCGACATCGCCATCACCATTGATGGCAAGTACAAGGGCAAGGACCTGGATGTCAAGATTACCCGCAACGCGCTCAAGGCCGGCATCAAGGGCCAGGAGCCTTTCATCGACGTTCGTCCTTGCTTGTTCCGCCCAGCAGAAGCATGTGCTAACGCTTTGTCCAGGGCGAGCTGCCTCATGCCATACGCGTTGACGACTCCACCTGGACACTGACCTCCGTCGGGTCCCAGAAAGAGATCTCCATCCACCTCGACAAAGTGAACCAGATGGAGTGGTGGGCCCACGTCGTCACCACAGCGCCCAAGATCGACACCTCCAAGATCCAGCCCGAGAACAGCAAGCTGGGCGACCTCGACGGGGAGACACGCGGCATGGTGGAGAAGATGATGTTTGACCAGAAGCAGAAGGAGCTAGGGAAGCCGACGAGCGACGAGCAGAAGAAGGCGGATATCCTGGAGCAGTTCAAGAAGCAGCACCCTGAGATGGACTTTTCGAACGCGAAAATGGGATGAGGACAACGAGATCCAGAGATGAAGATTTATACCCCCAAGAAAAGGTCGTCAGACAGATAGGCCAAAAGAGATATTACACAAACTATCAGCATACTTGCAGTTGGGGTCATTGCATGACTTTGCCTTCGTGCCGAGAATGATATTCATGAACTACCTCAACACTACCCCCTCACGTAACACCCCTCTCCCTACTCCCCTCATCGTCCCTCCCCGTACTACCCTCCACGACCGGCGCCTCCACAACCAGCAACCCCTCGCCCTCCCCACCAAGCTGCGGCAGATTCTGATTCTGACTCGCCCGCCTCGTATGCGCACTCAGATTCAAACTCGGCTGTCTCTGCCTGCGTTTGGGCAACGGCGGCGGCGGCGTCGCGAGCTCACTCGCAGTATGCGCAGTACCAGCACTGCCAGCACTGCTTTTCCTCCGCCGCATCTCCCGAAACACATCTTCCCCGTCGTCGTCATCTCCGCCGCCTCCTGTCCTTGTGTCTTGATCTGGGAAGTGTGCGGCGGGCAAGAGAGAGGCTGTGCCTAGTGCTGCTTTCGGGCTATCGATGAGATCCTCGACTGAGTGTTTGCTGGAGACGGCGGGGGAGCTGGGACCAGGGACGACGGGTTTGCGTTTCGTGAGATTCGCAAATGTGGAGGAGGCTGCTGCGGGGATGGCCCACGTTTGTCGTTTTTCTGTTTTGGGGTGCGGTAGAGGTGTGCCTGGGGGAGGGAGGGGTTGGCCTCTGCCCATGGGTTCCGAGTGGGATTTCGAGATCGAGGGATTGGAGTGGAGTTGCGGGCGGGGATCCAGAGATGACGATGACGATGAGTCGTGATCTATGCTCGGGCCCTCGGATGTTGGTGGTCTGTTGGTGGTACTGGTGTTGGGCTTTGCGTTCTGCTTGGCTGCGAGCCAGTTCCTGGCTGCTGCTGTGGCAGAGTTGAGGGATTGGTTGATGGTCTGTTTCTTTGTCGCCATGTTGCTTGCTCCTGCTGCTGCGGCGGCGGCTGCGGCAATTTCCTGTGCAGATAGCTCCCTCGACTTGGTGCGTGAGTGATCCGTGTTCGGGACTGGTGCGGAGGCAATACTCGCTGCGTAAATCGAAGCAGCAGATGTGTCTTCCGACGAGCTTTCTGATGACTCCGTCATTTGGCGTGCGTTGCCAGGCCGCATTGGCGACTGCATCGGCGATGCGACGGGAAGCGACTTGACACTTGTAGGCGTCATGGTGCGGTCGTTTGACATCTCAGCAGAAGCATTCGACGAGTCAATCTTCACTTGAGCCACGGACGACGACGACCGCATTGCGCGGGGTCTTATTGACGCCGAGGATGACTTGTGGTCTGTCGACGTAGAAACACCAGTGCCAACTTCTTCTGAATCAACACTTGAGGCGATGGAGAAATGCGTACTTGCCGCATCAGCCTTTTCATCAAGCTTCTCAGCATCCGAGATCGCACTCTCCAGTGTGGCTTCGTCTTGCTTGGTCTTGTCTGCGTCTTCCTCATCGTCCTTTGCGCTATCCTCCCAGATCCCTCCTCTTATGACCTGCGCAATAGTGTCGGTGAATGGCATGTCATCCCAGTTGGGCAACACCAACGTTTCGTTCACTACTTCCCGAATGCGATTCTCAATGGCCCTCAGAACAACGCCATATGTGATCTGACGCGAACTGACGATTGGCTCAAGCGAGAACTCCATTTTCGGAGGCGTCTCAAATGTCATCCAGAGTCTGTTGCTAGGCGGGGGCTTGACTCTTATAAGAATATGTCCATCAAGCCTCTTCAACACGGCAGCCAACACAAGTGTCACCTCGCGGGCTTTGAATCGAGTGCCCAAGTCGATTCGTACGGTAGCTGATATCTCGATGCGGAAGCTTCCCTTGTAGCTAACATCCGCCTCCACAACGAGATCGCCATCGACAGTCAACTCTTTGAGCTTGGGGTTGGTGATGAAGGGCGGCGAGGTGCCCATGTCGACCTTGCGTAGCTGTACGCTGCTGATGATGGCAGGCTTGGGCACGCGGGCTATTTTCTTGTTGATCTTACTCGCGATAAAGTCTTTGACTTGCGAGGTCTTGTATAGAGCGAGAAACACCCTGCCAATCAGCGCATTGATCCAACGAGTATGTAGGTTCTCCTCCGAAGCATGCAGTTGTTGGACTAGCTTGACAAGATCGGGTGTATCGAACTTGAGCGGAACGGACGGCGAGCCTGTATCGGTGGGGTCTTTCTGGTTCTCTTGGGCGTGCAACATTGCGTGGTAGAAATCCTCCTTCTCAGAACAGTTGTCCGAGAAGAGATAGAAGCCTTTCGCTTCGACATTGCTGTTGCTTTCTACCTGTTGAACCAGTCGAATGCCTGTATCTGTAAGCACTGGGGAAACATGACAGGAGCTTGAACCTTAGCATACAGTTCCTCTTGATCCAAAGCTCGCCCTCCGGTATGCGTTCTCCGCCCCCATATATGTCTACTTTGTAATGTGCGAGTGATATGACATGGCGTACTTCGAGCTGGTCTTCGTTGTCGTATAGCATAAGGTGGCCGAGACTGGTCTGGACTTAGTTTGACTTCATGTACTCGAGATGTATAGACATACCGCAGGACAACGTAGAAGACGTTCCGGGCCTTCTTGTTCTTCGCGTTTGATGCTTCTATCGTGGGACTCGCGTTCTTGTTCCTGTCAAAGATGCTCCTGTACATAGACTGGTACACGCTCGGGCTCTCCACAGCTACTACAGCGCCAGCTGGCGTCGTTCGATCCGGAGGTTTGCCGTTGACGCCGCCTGGCACATACTCTCGGCACACCGCAAAGTATCCAGCACAGGCATCTGGCTCGTGGGTCCTTCCCTTCAGCTTCTCTAGTATCTCGTCATCTATTCCCACTCCGACTTGTACGTTGTCGTCGTTCTTCCCGTTTGCGGATGTGTCCGACTTCCTGCGCTGTTCTGGAGTTGCCCCGTCGCCTGCAGTGTTGATGTTGTGGTTGTCTTGTTCTGTGGCTCTGGTTCCCAAGAACCATGCAGCTACAAGTACAGCAGGTAGGAGCGTCAGCCCTCCGACGAGGTAGCCCCATAGGAATATCTTGAATACGGCTCCATACCCCCAGTCCCCACTCATCTTGGGTTACGTGTTATGCGGTGTTGTAGACCATCCCTCGCCATGTACATGTGCGTTGAGCGAATCGACGTTCGATTGTAGAAGGTGGTCGGTTCTGTATACGTGTCGGGGCGTTTGGTTGAAGGGTAGTCGGTTGGCACGGCGCGTCGAAGCAAGTAATGTAGCGAGTGATGCTAGCGCTGGTCGAAGGGTCCGGGTGTCGGTCGTGTACGTCGCGCGAATGTTTGATCGGAGAAATAAGGCAGTCAGGTGTCAGGCAGCGAGGTGTTCTCAAGTACTACTTGGCTTGGACTTGGTCAGGGTCAGTGGCTCGACGCGAACTAGAGCTTGGTAGGGGCGGGGCCGGAGTTAACGCTCCACGTGTGAGGTGCACGTCGTTGATCGGCGCTAAAGCATTGTCCCGCGCTGCTATGACGGCATCTTCGACATTTCACCAACACGATTTCAAGAGAAAGGAAATTACTCAAACTTTAAAGGATTACAGGTTTCTTCAGCCCCCTACCATTTCACGATTGCGTAAAAGTAAGTGCTCCAGTTGAAAATGTATTTACGATGCGAAAGTAAACCAACAACTGCGGGAATCATCTTTTCTGACCCCATGCTCTGATCCGTGTACACACTATTTCTTGGATAACGGCTTATCGTACAGCAGCCAAATATAGGACTTTCGCGTCCTCATCAGCATGGCCACTACGGAATCACAATCCTACAATCCAGACATTCCCTCGGACCCTGTTACCAAAACCACGGACACCATCCATGTCGCACTCACCCCGCACGACCTAGACTCCCTGTCCGCGACCAAGTTCGTCCGATCACCATCAGCAGGCGCAACAGTCTTGTTCATAGGCACAACGCGCGACTCTTTCAACAACGAGCCTGTTTCCTCTTTAGCCTACACTTCCTACGCCCCTCTCGCCATTTCAACCCTGTTCAAGATCGCTACTTCTATCCTCACAAAACACGCATGCACCAAGATCGCAATCATTCACAAGCTGGGCGAATGCCCGATTGGGGAAGAGAGTATTGTTATTGCGGTTTCAGCACCGCACCGGCAAGCAGCCTGGAGAGCGGGCGAGGAGGCATTGGAAGAGACAAAGGAAAAAGCTGAGATATGGAAGCTAGAGAGGTTTGAAGGTGGGGAGGGTGTTTGGAGGGCGAATAGGGATGGGCAGAAAGGTGTGAAGGTAGAGGATGGCGCGAAGTAAGGGTGGAGAAAACGCCAAAGTAAACGAGGATTTGCAAGATGGTCGCCGGATGTGGAGGTTTGCTGAGCTCCCGGGTTCCTCGACGTGGATATACTGCAGTGGAACATGCTGAACGGTATATGTCCAGTTCGTGACATAAGACCGATTTTGGGGATCAACTTTGAGGTGAAGCATGTTTAGTGCCAAGGCTATGAAGCGCAGTGAAAAGTGGGCTTTGTAAGCTTATGCTGCGTATGTACGTTAAAAACGCCTTGCATAGAGTACTATTGTACTATTCCTCATTTCGAGCTTACGACGTATGTCGTGAAGATGAATATGATTTAAGTCACTGGCTATATATGCCGCATTGGGACTTGCCTAGACACTTGCACTTATATCTTTGTTTGCAGCTACATTGCTGGTTCCATCTAGTCTAGAAGAGATGCCATTGGCAGAAAGATCCTTACCACTAGTGCGGCTCTGAACATCAACGTGATGTCAGACCACGCTGCATCTAGATAGCATGTGTCCCAACGCCGTGTTGTAGCTGCCCATCACAACCCGTTTTTGGCTGAGACATGATTGAGACTGGACATTGTCGCGGTGAGACGGCGATCATAGACATTGCACTCAGCTTATGTTGTGGGACCCTTCCGGGTAGTCGTTCCAACTAACTTTGGAACGTACCGGAAAGCATAGCGAACTAGTTCAACACTCGAGGCTTCCCCTCGAATTGACAACCGCGTGCCTCTGATGCAACCGATCGGAGGACAACGCCGTCGTTCTCAACAATCTGGTGAGGCGTTCTGCACATGGTGCATTAGCATCAGGTAGCCTACATAATCTACGACACGTCGACAGTGTTGAGGGTCTCGACTTGACATAGAGGCGGGGTTGTACTAGTGGGCGCAGAATGATGTGCCTCGATTGCAAATGTCGCTCCGATGAGGCACTCCGAGCGCGCCGTGCTTGTGCTACCATGTGCAGCTACTAGGCACTCAGCCTTCCTGTTGTATACACTAATCTTACAGTCGTACTTGTACACGTTAACGGTCGTTATTGGTTCTTGCCAGAACCGTCCTTCTCGTCCTCCTCTATTATTCGCATTTGGCCAGATGCTGCTATCATCTCGCTGATGGTATTCGGTACATCATCCTCGGACTGGTATATCCGATCGTAGTTCAAGCGGCCTCGTAGAACTGCGCGAGCTTCTCTCAGATTGGCAATATCAAAGGTCCACATTGCGCCACCCAGCGCCATGATCCCAACACTGGCGCAGTTCATCGTCGCCAGGTTCAAAGCCTGGCAGGCATCTGAGAAGGGACTGAAGTATTCGTGCGGGTTCGTGTTCGCTTCGTAAAACTTTGGCATGACACGGAGCTGCCGCCTCCATACGGCCTTGCGCGTTATTGCGGTCGAGGCCAGTAAGCAGGCGCTTCCGAGGAAGTATATCGAAAGCTGGCGTAATGATCGTGAAGACGTAATGGGCGTTCCTTCGTATGTGCTTTCAGCCGGCCGTGGAGGGGGGTTGACCGGCGCTGCCGTTGGACGGGACATCATTCGCAAGATCGGAATCTTCTGAGCAGCTTCCATAAACCTCTCGAGCCGTACTGCAAGTATTCTGGGGTAATCTGTCGGGTGACTGCAGGACTAGCGTTGCATGCCGAATTCGTTGCGGACGTTGCGGACCCCCGAGCGTGTCTCTGCTGACAGTGAAGGGGATTTTGGGCTTGCCGAGAGTCGTACAGTCGAGGCGGCGTCGTGGAAATACCCGGAGCGAGTGTGTTATTAGCCAAAGGCGTGGCGTGAGAAGGCAATGGCCGGGCAGACATCTTCGTCAGCCCGTCACAGAAAAGTTACGATGCAAACCAGCGTCGGTGGGTCTCGGGCCGTGCGCCCAGATTCCCCACAATGGCTGAACCCCTCTTCACCCACCGCATCAATGCCCTGTCATGTACAAACAAGCTTTCGCCATGCCAAAGTGCTCGATCAGACGCGCATATTGCGAATGACGCCTTCAAGTAAGAGCTGCTGATTGCTCCAGCCGCACCTCCCTCGTATCGCCCATCTTTCCCCTCACTAAAACCGGGCGAGAAGAAGATTCAATATTAACCTGCAGTATGCAGTGATCATCGTCAGGTACACCCGACGACTAACTATTAGTTCCCGACCAACACACTCAGCTTACGCTTCCCCGGCTTTTTGCCACTTCAGATGTTTCCGGGTTCCTGGGACTCTTGCTTGGAACCACCAGGGTACCCGGTGGACAAACGTGCGTGACGTACAGCACGTTGATTCGACACGTGCTTCGATGTACAGGTCCTTGATACACAGCTGAGCATCATTTCGTACTTCCAAGTCATAGAGATGCTCGTCAGCTATCCGGGTCTTTGGTACCGACGATTTACGTTTCTCGGTCATCATCAAGTCCATGAGAGAAAGACTTTTGCCAAGTGCGCTTCCAATTCTCTTCTCCACACCAGAAGATCCGGTTGGCTCATAGTCTACTCCCCCACTCATCGCTTTTCATGGCTTGCGTACACATACTAGATGCATTCCCTTCGTTAGTCATTAGACTCGTGGACTCGTGGATACTGGTAGCGTGGCAACTGCATGCATGCATGCTTCCATGGGACGACTTGATCTGGACCCGCATCGACATGCTTGACCTATTTTTGTCATTTGATACTCAACCTGCTGTACGAGGCCCGCGGTGTATCTTCTTCTAAGCCATCGTGCGAGATGTGCAAGGTACTACGGATCGCTTTGTCGATCATCCGGGCCACCAGAGAATGACTCTGCCTCGTTTCTCCGCACAGGATGACAACGATGCGTCGATTATGTGTATGTTGAGAAGCTAGGCTCGAGTATAAAGTAACCCTATAGTCGCGCTTTGAAAGCATCATCAGCCTTCATAGTCTGCAACAGTCTAGCCGATACTCTTTCGCTACAAGTCGAAATCTATCGTCAATTGCTTTACCTTCACTCTCGATCACTCAAGTCTTTAGCCCAGAATGCTCTTCAAGAATATCCTCGCGCTCGCTGCTTCAGCTTCTCTCGCTGCTGCTTTCCCCGGTTACTCCGCAGTGCCTCCCAAGTCTTCTTCCAGCGCATACGTGCCCCCTCCAAAGACTTCGTCTGCGCCTCCTCCCAAAGAGACAACAATCTGCACTCCGTGTAAGTGTTTACGTATAGCTTCCTGTGATCTTGGATTGACTTTTCTCAGCCACATACGTCAGCTCCAGCGTCGGCGAGGGCAAGACCACCTATTTGTCTACCAAGACTGTGGTCATTCCTGTCACCACTGTTACTGAGAAGCTCTCGACCGTCACAGCACCTTACCCATACACCACTACCGGCACCAGCACCAAGACGGTCACGCAACTCACTACCTACCTCACTACCAAGACCTACTCGACTGTGACTACCATCTACAACACCAAAGTAGAGAGCGAAGTCAAGTCCGCTACCAAGGTTGAGACCGTGCCAGTTGTGTAAGTATACGATCACGATTTCTCAGAGTGTTCTTCGGGCTAACACTGATACAGCTCCACCGGAACTTCCTACAAGACTAGCGTCTCCACTGCTAAGGAGACCATCACAAGCTCAAAGACCACTGGGTCTGTCGTCACGGAGACTGCAAAGAAGCCGACCACGTACATTACAACTGGCACCACCACAGTCTGCACAACGTCCAAGGGCGGCTATGGCGACGGCTACTAAGCCTTGATCTTTCGCGCATAAAGGAAACTAGCAATGCAGCTAGCAGGACCGATGAACTCGACTGATTGCGACGCAAGCTCCAACTGCGGTACACTCCTTGTGCAGGGACTATGTTTTGAGCGCGTTGATTCACGACCCATTTCGATTCTTGAGTCACTCCTTAGACTACCATCTTACCCAGCGATAGAGCTGCATCCATAACAATAAACATATTTTGGCAAAAGAGAGAGCAAAGACGCGAATCCAAAACTTAAAGCTTCTAACTTCGATGATGTCAAAGCTCTAAAGCTGTGTTATCCTGAGATGAGGCCAGATGGTGAAGGCCAAATCACGTACAAGTCCGCTCATATAACCAACGGATAAATCGCAGCAAATCACCTCGTACATTACCCCCATCCTCACTGTAAACCCAGTCCTCAATATCTCGACCTATGCTGCGGTCGCTCAGGACCCTGCATCATAGCCAACCGCGCAGGGTTCATGCCAAACGTAGCGGCCTCAGAGGGCTCGTCTGCTGCAGCAGCCTCCTCTCCAGTCTCGGCGTCATCGCCGTCCTTCTTGCCCGACTTGGCCTCCTTCTTCGCCTTGCGTTCGCTCTGCTTCATTTCGAGTTCCGTCTTCTTGACGCGGTCGCGGGCACGCTCGTCGTGGAGCTTCTCGTTCTTGGCGGAGATTTTGGACTTGCGGGCTTCGCTGTTGCCGCCACCTCCTGCGCTGTTGGGTGGTGTTAGTATGTGTTCTATTACTTTGTGTTGGGTGGTAGGGGACCAGGGATGCGCGTAGAAGACCCAGAGGATTCAAATCTTACCTCAGCTCAACATTGATCTTCCTTCCCTCCTTCTTCTTGGGGTCGGCGAAGAGGGAGTGGTGGTACTTCTTCAAGCACGTCACCATACGGTCGTAGCGGTCGAATTCGATGAAGCAGGTGCCCATGAACTTCTCAGTGCCCTTGTATGTACGGAGACGGATGTCGGTGGGCTTGATCTTTTCGAAATGCTTCTCGATTTGCTCTTTCGTAGCACTGTAGGGAAGGTTGCCTGAAGTTGTATGTCAGATGGGTATGATAGATCGGAATGTGCACAAGACGTACCGACGAAGACGATGAAGCGGCCCTTGTTAGCCTCGACTGCGGCTTGGGCTTCCTCTCCCTCTACCTCGACTTCGGCGCCACCCTCGATGTCTGCATCTATGTCCTCTGCAGAGGCTTCACCGTTGGTCTCGGCTTTGGGCTCTTCAGTAGAGGTTTCGCCATTGGTCTCTGCTTCTGCCGCCTTCTTTGCCTTCTTCTCTTTTTTCTCCTTCTTCTCCTTCTTCTCTTTCTTCTTCTCCTTCTTAGCAGCCTTGGAGTCAGAGTCTGCGCCGTTTGTCTCTGCTGGTGTGTCTTTAGCTACGCCATTCTGTTCCTCAGCTGCGTCTTTCATAGGTGTGTCCTCAGATGCGGCAGCGTCTTTGCTCTTCTTCGACTTCTTGTCCTTCTTCTCTTTCTTGGACTTCTTTTCCTTCTTCGCAGGCGCATCTTCGCTGGCATCGGGCATTGGCTCGTCATCGTTGACGCTGATGAAGTTCTCCGAGGACTTCATCTCATCGATAAGATCAGCCTCCTGCGCATCCTCAGAGACATCCGCATCCTTGGACTTCTTGGACTTTTTCGATTTCTTTTCCTTCTTCTCCTTCTTTGCGTCTTCTAAGGCGTCCTCGACGGCCGATGTGTCGACATTGCCCTTGGACTTCTTAGACTTCTTATCCTTCTTGTCTTTCTTTTCTTTCTTCACCTCGGTCGCTTCGACTTCAGGCGCATCCTGGACATTGTCTGTCTTCTTGGATTTTTTGGACTTCTTCGGCGCATCTTCTGCTGCCTCGGCGTCGCGCTTGCGCTTCTTCTCGGGGGTGTCAATTTTAGATTTGGACATGGTGGGCGCGCAAAAATGGTGTAGATCTGTAGGAGCGTCGCGAAACGAGAATGGAGATCCTGAACTTTTTCTGCCGGGCGGTCGCGCAAGATTGTCTTGGCGCGTGAACTACGGCATCGATGCACCCCTCAAGCGACAGAATTGCAGTCGCAAAGCATCATGCGGCCCCCGGCGCATCGAGCAAAGCTCCCACACGGCTCGCTGAGGCCTCCGACATCGCGTACCTCTGACCGCCCATGTCCACGCCAATTCTCGAACAAACATCCCCGCCAATTTCTCGTCGCGCACCAGGGCTCGCCCCGGCCACAGCTACCGTTCCTATATCCCTCGGGCCAGCACCTCTCCAATGGCCAACTACAACGTCTGTTCTCCATTAGCGCCAACCACAAGAAATTCATAAAGGAGACGGCGAAATTGAGTGTGCGATACAGCATCCTCATCTTCCTCCTCTCATCATGCGTCAGTATCGCAAGTCTGGGCATATTGAGCGAGCAGCAAGAGCGGGCGTTTCCGTCGCCGCATGAATGGAGTCTGATTACACGATTCAGGTTCCGGCGAGGAAAGTGGTGGCAGGTGCCCGAAAACAACGAGGAAGAGGGTTTCCCCAACTGGGCGCGGGTCTACTCAGAGCTGGAATATGCGCTGAACCGATTGGAACACCCGAACAAGGATGGCGCGGGTTTATTTGACCAGGAAGAGGGAGGGATTATGGTGCCTGGCGTAGGCAAGGCAGGCTTCGATCTGACGGCCAAGAGCGAGGAGTGGCGACAAGGGTACTACGAAGTCTTGATGGGCATGGGTAATGCTGCAGAGAGGTTAGATGGATGGGTGACGGACAAGTGGAGGAGAAACGTGTGGGCGCCAGAATTCATTCAATCGCCCTCGAATCCACGACCGAAAGCTGTTCTTCCTGGCATGCCCGAGCCACCAGATGAGGAACATCGCTTTCCCGCGGCGGAAGCACCAGAGACGTTCTACCTCAAGGTCATCACCTCCAAGGGGTTTACAACATATCAACGGCTATCAGCTGCGCTGAGCTATGCCGACTGGCTCAACTTCAGAAAGCTCCCCGACTCGGCGGAGGAAATGTATAGATGGGCACTTGACATTGCTATTGCAGGCCTACCCACACCCGAGCCTTCGACAGTCATCGACCGAGACAGTGCCATTCTGTCGTCTACGACACCCAAGGAAGCAGTAACACCAAACATCCTCTACGCGGCGACAAACCTCGCTACCTTTCTAGCGGAACAACGAAGAGTCTCGTCCGCACTCCCAATCTTCGTCTCGCTGCTCCGTGCTCGTATCGAAGCCCAGGAGGCGCATCTTCCTATGGTTCAGGCACAAAAGGACTCTACTCTCATCGGTACTTTGTTCAGCTTACTGCGTGAACCCGACTATCCAGGGGTACCACCCTCAGGCGACGAACCACTCCTCCGCAGAGAAAGCGACCGCTGCGAAGAAGCCGCCTTGAAGAACTATATTGGCGAGATCCTTTTCGCGACAGCCGGCAACTCATCTAGTCAACGCCAACAGGGCCTCTCATGGGTGCGCGATGGTGTCTCTACCTCCAAGCTCGCGCAATCGCTCGAACCCATACGCGCCAACGACGACCTCCGCAAGAAGTGCGAAAAGTGCGAGGAGGTCGGTCTCGAATCGTGGGGGAAGATCATGACTTATTTGGCTGCTGAGGCCCGCGAGAAGCGGGATCAGGCGAAGAGTGGAGGTCTGAAGGGGCTGGTGTGGAAGGTCAAGGGCACCAAGGCCCTGGATGAGGATGTGGAGAACCTAGAGGGTGAAGAAGAGGGCGTCATTCTTCGGCTCAACAAGCTCAGAAGCAAAATGCTCAAGGAGGAGTATGAGGAGATGGATCGCAAGTTTGCGCGAACCTTTGTATTCTAGCAACTGGCTGTAGGATATGACCCATGGAGCTGTACAACAGCTACGCCTGCGTAGTTCTGCCAAGCGCGACCGGCAATTTTACCCAAAGCCCTCTCACAGCCCCTGCATCAGTTCTGCCAGTGCAACTTATCGCATGTGCATACTCAACATCACCATGTTTCAGACGTGGATCACTTTAGCCTTCACCCTATCAATGTCGGCACATCCCTCTGGCGCGGATCGCCACATCCGGCTCGCTATCAGGGCCCTAGCGCTCGAGAACCAATCATCCAAGCCACACCCGCTGTCAATTCCAACCGAACCGAACGCTTGCTTTTGGTCACCCATCAACTGTGTTCGCACGTGTGCCGGCCTCCCCGACTATTGGCGTGGGCAGCTGATTATTGCTTGGGAACACAGGCGAATTAGTATGAGTATGTCTGCCATGCATAGACGGTATGTCGCTAGCGCATGGGGTTTGGTGGAGGAGAATGGGTGGGTAAACCGTTCGTCTGATGCGGTTGTGAAGGGGGTGACTCGGTAGTCAGCTGGGCGTAGGCGTTTGTATAAGAGAAGCAGTGATTCAGCAGCTGGCTGTTTCTTGTCGCAAACACACACACAGATCCCATTCACAACCACTGCCTTCGTTATATATCTAAAGACGACACGATGGCTTTCAGACCGCTTGTTGCGCTGGCTACCATGGCCGTATCTTTGGTCAGCTGCGCGCCGCTCGCACTCAACGAAAGGCAGGCGCCAGATGGCGTTCCCGATTATGTACTCAAATATGGTACGCAGTGATACTCGATCTTGCTTCGCTGTCTGTAATTGTACATCCGATTCGACTAACTGCTCTTTAGCGCCCATCGTCTACCTTCACTCACAGGATGCCTACTATCCCACCGATATACAAACATTCCTGAACCATACGACTCCGCGAGTGGAGTTCAACGAGGTTTCTGGTCCTTCAAAGCCCCTAACTACGTCCAACCTCGATCAGATGGGCAGCGACGTCTGGCTCACATCCAACGACGATGTGACCAAAGATCCTACATGGATCAAGGGCACAAAACCCAACGCGCAGGGCAAGACCGAAGGGGCGACCACAGCGGCCGTTATCGTGAACGACAAGGGAAATGGCAACGTTGATGCTTTCTACATGTACTTCTACGCCTACAACTACGGCGGCGAGGTACTAGGATGGAGCAAACTGAACTTTGGTACGTCCTTCCCCCCATCCATACCAGGACACTGTTCAGTTCTAACACTCCAATAAGGCAACCACGTAGGCGACTGGGAACACGTCATGGTCCGCTTCGCAAACGGTTCTCCCGAGGCAATATGGTACTCTCAGCACGCAAACGGGCAAGCCTTCCGCTACGGCACCGTCGAGAAGACCGGCGACAGACCCATCGCATACTCCTCCAAAGGCTCGCATGCCAACTACGCCATCTCCGGAACCCACGACCACACCGTCCCCAACCTCAATCTTCCGGGCGGCGTCTTGGAAGACTACACAGACAGAGGTGTGATGTGGGATCCTCTCCTATCGGCCAACTTCTACAAATTCGACGCCGGAAAGTCCGCTTTCTCGGCTTATGATGGTCAGGCGCCGACGGCGTGGTTGAACTTCAAGGGCAGATGGGGCGATGAGGAGTATCCCGAGAGTGATCCGAGACAAGTCAAGCTGTTTGGTCAGGCTAAGTTTTCGGGTGGACCGACTGGACCTGTGGACAAGCAGCTGAACAGGGAGAAGACCTGTCCGGATAACGGTCAGCTTTGCATTCTGAGGAGTATCCTCGTGCCACGGAGTAAGGCTACGGATGAGGTTGCGCAGGATGGGGATGTTGTTCTGGCATGATGAGTGCGAGACAGTGATTTCATGAATCTGTTCAATTACTTCCACGTAATATATAATGATATTAGGACTTTCAACCAAGCACATACTTCGTTCTGCTGGCTGCAACACAAGTACAATCAAGTTCCCCAGAGCCATTGAGGCTGTACCGTCCTCTTCTGTGTGCCCTGAGCCCAATAGATCGCCCCAGATCGCCCCAGATCTAGTATAACGCCGTACAAAAAACTTAGGGGTATCATGATAATGACTGACTGAAAACTCAAGTTCCAAAACGAATGATCCGCCGATACTTGGAAACACCCGGAATGACAGTAAGCTGCACGCAACCCAATAATAGAGAACCATTGATAAAATAGGAATTGATGATATAAAAGGTCAAAGCACGATGACTCGAGACACAGTGAGCTGACGCGAGCCACGTAGCACTGTTGAAACGCCACAGTAGTACGACGACGTGGAGAAACATTGACGCATCACCACGGCTCTGAATGACGCTGAGCTTTGCCTTCTTTAGTGGCTTGACCATTTGACACCTCAGCGTGACGTACATGGACGTCGTGCTTGTGGAAGTCATCTAGCGCGATCTCAGGACCAGAGTCCTGCGTGTCGCGAGAGCTCGTCATCGTTTCCTTGCGATAGGCATCTCGTCGCAGATGATGTTGTAATGGGCTGCCGGTCAGCTTGGATTTGACCGTACCCCAAGCTCTTCTACACTCGGAGCGGGTTGTAAAGATGTAGATGGTTGCGTTCCAGGCTCCTTGAAGCGGAAGTACAATTGCGGAGATGATGTTGAGAGCGAAGCTCGAGCGGTTTCTGTGCGTGAATTGGTACATGCGGTTGATGCTGCTGGGTAGCCAGACCACAAGCAAGGCTACGAACATGAGGAAGGCGACTTGGAAGTATGCCATGGCTGCAGCATGACCTTCTGCGGTCCGCTTAGCGACGGGACGCGTTGTCAACAATGTGGTCGGGGTTTCCGAGGTTTCTGCAGGGCTTGTCGCAATTACGGTCGCCCTGTACCCATTTCGACCTCTCGTACCATTGTGTGGATGTCGCTGCGCTTCAACATCCTCGATCTGTATCCTGGACGTACGAGCAGCATTCAAGGCTGGCAGTGCTTCCGTCGTCGTATCGTCCTGTTTGCTCGGCGTGGAAAGCAAACGGGTGCTCGAGAACGAATTGATGGAGCTTTGATCCGGCTCAGGAGAGACACAGCGTGAGATAGCGTCCTCTGGTTGGACGTCGCATTTAATCTGTGTCGTCACCACGATGTTGTTTGTACCCACGAAAGGATGCGGGGTAGTGTTCTCAGCAGCAGCAGCAGTGAAGGAGTTTCTGGCTAGATATTGGTGCGAGCTTCGTGAAACGGAGCGTAGCTCGGCCCTCTTCCTCCAGATCCGATAGCCGGTGATGATGTAGATGCTGATAGTCGTAGTGATAACAATCCTGGCGAGATTAGTCGTGATTGGCTTGACGTGGACCGGACTTACCAGGTAGGAGCGTAGAAAAACGCGATCCGCATCCACTCGACGTCAGACGATACCCAGCACCAAAGAGTTGCTGATCCAATAATCTCGTTTCCTGTTCTACCTAAGATGAAGTAGACGACGACTGGTAGTGCCGGGATCCCATAACTACATGCGACATACCACTTCTCCAAATGGCGAAGTTGCTGGGCGTCGTATCCATAGAAAAACACCAGGAATACGTTCGTAGCCATCGACAAACAGAAGAGGGCATCTGTGATCAAGAACCATTGGATCATGAGACCCTGGAACTCGCAGAGACCGGACGGGGGTTCAGAATCCTTTGGCAAGACTGCAATCGACATCAAAGTCGCGATGTTCGTCAAGATATTCCCGAATGTCGCGAAGAATACCAGACGGTTAATTGCTGCGCGATATCAGCTTTTGTAACGCATCAAAGCAAGTTAACGTACGTTTTCTGAAGAAAGGAAAGCACACAAAAGTAGTGATGATGATTGTTGAGCCTATGACGGAAAGTCCAGACGCCGCTCTCGTGGCGATGACTAGCGCAAAGTCTTTGTGGGGAGATAGTGGCGTAGGCATGTTTGGAAGTCGTCGAGACTGCGTGTTGTGCTTCGCAAAGAAGGGACTATGTGCCAAGGTTGGTACAATCTGGTGCGTGGCTAGCGTGTGAGTGATACTGAAAGTATTTCCCAGATTCACTCGAGTGCGACTAATCGTGTTTGGTAGTTATTTGATCCCGCCGGCCGCCGCAGTACTTGTGGATTATCCCGGAGAGTGCCACAGTATCGGCGCTGCAATCACGACGAACGACTTCGCCGACGAGATGCACAGTTTAGGCGAGGAGCCATGCGCAAACAGCCAGTATAGTCGATATAAGGGCCAACAAGGGTGGCCGTGGTCGAGTGTGGAGGATAACCGGTATGAACGGGATGAAAGACCTTCGAATCTGGAAGCGGGTCGACTGGAAACGCAGGACAACGTGATCGAGACGAATAATATTGACTTCCCAGCTAGGAGGAAGGACTCTCCGCCTGTAAGAATGTAGATTGCTTCGTAGATTTGGTGTACAACGCGCTTACGAACGCAACGAAACCCTTACGCACAACGTCGTACAGGGTCCGCAAGAGGAAAGGAAAGATGCAAGAAATGAACTTGAGCCACTATGTCGGTTCGTCAGTCGGTCTCCCGGCGAATGAAGTTTTGTGCACGGCAGTAGCGTGGTAAATCTGCTCCACAGGGTGTGCACAAGAGGCGCAGAAATGGTCAATAATAGCGTGAAGTAGATAAAGATAATGCACAACTCAATTCTTTCCTACATTCAAGTAGGCTGGTATATAGCTTACTACTGTCTCGAGCTTTGCGGAGCGCATGGTTGCCGTAAGCCATTGCTGCTTTTGGTAACAATTGCTGCGTACTGGCTTTCGTGAGAATAGAACCCTGTATGGTGGCGTGCAGGCTGTTTGCAATCCACAAAGCTGAGGCCAGAGAATCGATAGCAGAAAAATGATACCAATAGAGGTCTGCGATCTGGGAGGCACGCCGTCGAGACCTCGACGTGGGACGTGCCAAGCCAGCCCGTCATCTTCCCCGCAGCTCCACTTTCATCTCATTCGGCAGCTTTACCACTGCACGTCCTCGTCCTCCAAAACTGCGGTCGCGCCTGCACCCTCTGC